AGGCATAAGGAGTGTGCTGAACTGAGAAGGGGCATGGGGACATTCGTTTTTGGATTGGAAGATCACTCAAACCACTCCGGTTGAAAAGCGAAACTGTTTCTGCCTCGGCACAGCATTTGATAGCATCATCAACATAAAGGACATCATCTATTCTTGCCATAATGTTGAAGGCCAAACTCTCCATCACCCTTGAGTAGCTTTCAAGAATTGATTGCCCAACATCCTGCAATTAAAACATGATAATGGAGGCTATTTTCAGTTCTTCTTAGTATAAAACAAGAAGAAGGATGCACGCGTGAAAACCCATGCTGCATAATATGCCAACTAGCAGAGGAGACTCCCTTTTTACTTTAAGGACAATTGTAAATTCACTGATTATAGGCTCCATTACCCCATTAAAAGATGTGGTCCCAAGATGAAAGATGGTACAAATTTGTACAGAGAAACAAAGAAGAAACAAAAGTTGGTTCTACCCTCGCTATTTAACCAAGGAACTTCCAAAATCTCATCTATAAGGGCACATGGTTTGTACATACGCATGATAGAATAATTCTTTGCTGATAAAGACATTTTGTACTTTCTTTCCCCATAAAAAATTAATTAAAATACCTTATTATATTGAATTTTGTTCATATCCAATGCTGTCTGCGGAAGACTGGGAAAACGATGCCTCAAGCCATTTAAGAGGGTTTCAGCTCTTTGGGCCAGCATATTATTCTTTTCACCATCGGCAACAAGGCCTTTAACCTTTCCACCCCATGATGAGCGCTTAGCTTTGCCGTCATTAACGTGTTTCCTTTGATCTTTGAGTTTCCAAACATGCACTGCTGCCTCAATCCTGTTAGTTACTTCCAGAGTCTGATGTTCTGTTGATAGATCAAGGCAATCAAGGAGACACTCTGGCGAGAATTGATCAGCTGTTATGTATCGGTAGATAATATCTCCTAGACAAGCCTTTGCATTCTGATGGCAAAGAAATTTGTTGACATTCAAATCAAACGTAAGAAAAACAATGCTATAAAACAGTTGCTTCACAATAACTATCGCAGGGAGTTCGTGCACCTGTTATTTTGACATTCAAAATGGGAGAAACGTAATCATGCATATTCATTCCCTTCCAAAGCTATTTTTATCTTCTCAATCCTAATGTGAGCGCCTTCTTAACTAACAGGTTTCAATCATGATAGAGATGCTCAGATCAATGATGAGCACCAACCATTAATATTCAAGAATTATTATCCAATGAAGAGAAGCAATGCAAGATAGCTAATGTGGTTATTCTGAAAGACTGCAAAACTGTCACTATTCAAGAAACAAACACAGTCAAATACCTTTGGCAAGTTCTCCAAGTAAGCAGTAGGTATCTCCATCTCTGCAAGCACGTTGCTATTAATCGCCATGGCTGCCTTCAGTATTTGGTTTGTGCAATCCCTACTTTGCTGCAACTTCTTCCTTGCATCCTCTGACAAGCCATTTGGTGGCACTTTTGGACACGGCAACCACCACTTCTCTTCTTGCCTAATCGAGGGCCTCCCTCCAGAAACAAATGATGGCGAGGCTTCACAATCACCACCATCATCAGCAACTATCCCCCGATCCACATACCAAAACTCTGTCCCACAAAATCCATCAAGTATGGTAATCAACATTGCATCAAGCTTCTTAAGGGCAGGAAGGTTCATATACAAATCAGAGCGTGGCCTTGTCACCATGACTTCGTATGTGCCTCCTCCAGGGAATTGTTGTATTGATGGTACAAGTTCAACAATTGAATTGCTCACACACAAGAGCCACTCCATTTCTCTCCTCCACACTGCCTTCTTTTGTGGTGCTAATTGCCCTAGCCTCCATAACTGACCAAAGATGGACGCTGCCATTACAAACAAGAGTACCATTAGCTTAAATGAAAATTTAATTTATACGATACGTAAAAGAAAGAAACGTAGTACATGAAATTATAAGCAAAAACCACACCAACCAGAGAGATTCGTGATGGCATTTGAAATGGCAAGTGCACTACACACTCCTTGCCCCCCTCCAGACATGTCTTCTCCTAAAAGAAGCTTAGCAAATCTCTCCTTCATCATCTCAACTTCTGTATAACATTTGAAACATTACGAAAATCATAGAAAATTCAAATTAAAATAAAAAAAACAATGAATGATCGCAAATCAAGTAAATTTATCTTCCTCGGTTAAAAGATCAATTTTCCAAAAATTCCTTAAAATGAGAATAAAAGATGAGGATATAACTAAGAAAAGTACAAGAAATACAAAAAAGAAGAAAAAAATGCTGCAAATAGAAACAAGCAAAATCAATTCACTCAGAAATTTACTACACATAAATCTACATCTAGCGAAAGCCTATAATTAACCATAATGTTGAAGCAATCCAATCATACCTAAAGGAAAAATACCAAAATAAAACAAAGAAAATGGAAATATACCAGACAAATTGGTCTCCCGTTTCTCAGGCTTCTCATCATCCCAAATTACCACATCCTTCCCTCCAATCACCGGCAACATCATCGGAACCTGAAAACCGAACCTTCCAACGGCCGGTAACCTTGGAGATGAGGTCATAGAACTGGAGCAACCTTCTCCATCGAACCGACGGCACGAAAAGCTACTACAACTCTCCGACTCACTCACATCAGCACTCACATTATAACTCCCGCACCGCTCGCTCTGCTGATCAAAGCCATCATCTGAAGATACACTTCCCATGATCTACTCAATCACGAGATCCGACGGTTAAAAAACAAATCCTTCAATCTACTCACGATGAGAAGAAATTCGGCTACTTGCGTGGTAATGGTAAAGTGGATAAGGAATGTAGAGTTAACAGAACTGGAAACACTTTTTCTTTGGTTGTTGAAATTGTTTACTGTGCCTGTACATGCTCGGTACTGTTATTATGGTTTTAGTGGAAGTGATGATGTCTTTGTGTGGCGGAAAAGCAAAAGTGACGGCGTTTATCTTTTCGTCACGGTACTGGTCTTACCACCCGACATCGAACCTTACGTTTGGACCCATCTCTGTTTCAGTGTTTCCTCCTTTACTTCTTATGATTTCATTATGTTAAAATTCTCTTTAAAGTCAAATTAATTTGATTGGTTATATTCATGTGATGAAATGGATAAGTGATCAAAGAAATATTAATTTTTTAGATATCTTTCAGATAAATAGATGTGTTCCTAGTGTGTTGTTAATTAATTAAATTTTTTTAAATACATATTATTTTGTAATTAATTATATTAAATTTATTAAATAATTTTAATGATAAAATAAAATTTTATTTTAAATATTATCTTGTAATCACCTTAAATTATTTAAAAAAATTAAATATATTTATAAAATGATTTATCGATAAAAGGTTCACAGGTATTTTAAACTCAATTCAATTTTATTTTGATTTAATTTATATATATATACATTCATATAAAATTATTTTAACTTAAATTTTAATATATTTTAATTATCAATACATTATTTTTATTATAGTTACGAGCTATTTATAATTTATCAATAAAATTTATTTGTATGTTGTGTGTATTTAATTGAATAAGTGTATCATTTGTAATTATAATTGAATTATGATTCTTATTATCAGATTTATCATTCAAAATGTTATTGATTTACTAATTAATTATGATTATATGCATATATATTTTTTATAATTTTAAATTTGAAAATTATTGAATTTATTGAGTGATATTAGTAATAAAAAATATATTATTTTTCTAAAAGTCTCAAATTAAAACAATTACGTATGTAGATGTATATGCATTATCAATAAACTAAAAAAATATTTAAATATATATTATTTTATAATTACTCCATACTATTTAATAAAAATTAAAAATTATTTTTGGTTATAATTAAATTTTATTTGTCCATTGCATCGGCTAACTTTGATATATAGATGCACTAGTTGCAATTATAATTGGATTATAGTTTTCATTAATAATTTAATATGATGTATAATTTATAATTTCATTTCTCCATTATACTAATTAATTCTAAGTGTATGAATGTATTATTTATAATTTTAATTAAAAAACAATTATTTAATACGTTGACGGTAGAAAAATCTTTTAACTCCATCACTAAGATTAAGATATGTTAATTTTTATTATTAATATTTATATTATGTAAATTATATATTAATTTTTATATTCTAGTTCAATAAATTTTAATTTCTATATTTTTAAAATTTTAAAATTCCAATTATAACTCATAATACATAAACAATACAATTAAATTATACGTCTTAAAATTATTAAACTAAAGAAATGAACTAAATTCACAATTAACTAATATAAGAACTAATGATAGAAATTAATTTAATACATTGTATGATTACTATATGAATTACGATTAAAATTCTAAAAATAAGAATATAATAAATTAAAATAATCAAATTAATTCTTCAACTTATACCTAATGCAAGTACTGATTATAGAATTTAATCATTAAGATGCCTAAAATCTACTAGTAAGACGACACCTTTTCAAATTTCAAAGTCCAAAATTTACATATAATTAAAAAAATATAAATTATTTATTTAATCATTCATTCATTCATTCTAAAATCATACATAATATGATATTTTATTTCTATTTTAATAATCTAATTTTATAATTTTTACTTGTTCTTAAAACACAATTTATATCATATCTAATATTATTTTTCGATACATATTATTAGTCAATTAATTTTTATGTTTATCCTAAAGCCATCAAAATCTCATAAACATACGTGAAGATTATAGATCCTACGAGCAGTAAATCAAATAATAATATTTTTATTTTATAATAATTTATCATGATATTGTTATGGCTGAGCTTGCCATGTTGGAATTATCAAATGACGTGGCAAAAAGTCTTTCGCAACATGGCTTACGTGGACGGGGATGGTCTGACCCAAATAATAAGAACCGAATTAAGGACCCAAGACACAATCGTGAAATCAAGAAACTCCCACGAGCGAACTGCGTGCTGTTTTTTGATTGTTGGTATTTGCCAAAGCTTAATCCTTTATTCATCCTATCAAATATTTTCAGTGACGCTGACGCCCAAATTTATTACAATATGCCGAAGAAGTTGGGGGTAAACAGCAAAGCCGAGGCGGCGCGTGCTTGCAAGAGTGCCACCGAAGCCGAACGGAAAGATCGGGAAACCCGGGAGAAAGAAGAGCAGTATGTAAAGTCAAAGAAAGGAGGGGGTGGGCACCGCCTGTGGAAATTAAAGAGGGCTGAAGTTTCAACAAAGTTTGGCACCGATAATGCTTGGTTCAAAGTTTGGTATAATTTTGTTGAAAATTAAAATGGTTAAATCACACATTTAGTCATTGCACTTTAGGGTATTTTCAAAGATTAGTCCCTAAGTTTCAACTATAAATACCCTAGCTCATTTAGCTTCTAAATCATCCCAAAAACATTTCTTTCTTCCTATACTAGAAAGCTTTCTTGTGAGTAGTGAGTGTTTTGTAAACACCTGTAAATTTTCTCTCTTAGTAAAAGATCTGCAGCAGCCCGGAGACGTAAGCACAATTGGCTGAACTCCGTTATCAATTTTCGGGTATTATTTTTCCGCTTTTATTTCGCATTCTCACTAATCTGGTTATAGGGAAATTACTTGTACTCGGTTTATTTTCCTAACAACTGGTATCAGAGCTTTTGGTTGTGAATTTTGTCAATTTTTCTGCGAGGTTACTATTCATTACTATTCACGTGAATAGTGAATTTCGTGAATAGTGAAATTTCGGTCGGCGATACGAGTTTGTCGACGGTGGTGTTCTAATACACGGTGGTTCGCAAGAATTGTCAGAAACGATCCAAAAGAAGCCAGATTCGAGTGGAAGCGATGGCTGCAGACGAAGGGAAGGTGAAAATTGAAAAGTTCGATGGTGCGGACTTTGGCTTTTGGAAGATGCAGATTGAAGATTTTCTGTACCAGAAAAATCTTTATCAACCTCTCTCAGGAAAGCAACCAGAGGGCATGAAGAATGAAGACTGGGCTCTTCTCGACCGACAAGCCCTCGGAGTCATTCGACTGACGTTGTCCCGAAATGTTGCTTTCAACATAGCAAAGGAAAAGACCACGGCGGGTCTTATGGCGGCTCTCTCCAGTATGTATGAGAAGCCATCGGCCTCAAACAAAGTTCATTTGATGAGGCGATTATTCAATTTGCGGATGACGGAAGGGGCATCGGTGGCACAACACCTAAATGAACTCAACACAATCACAACCCAGTTGAGTTCAGTGGAAATTGAGTTCGATGATGAAGTTCGAGCTTTAATTCTCTTATCATCTCTACCAGACAGTTGGAATGCTACTGTTACAGCAGTCAGCAGTTCGTCGGGAAACAGCAAATTAAAATTCGACGATGTTCGGGATCTGGTACTGAGTGAAGAAATTCGACGGAGAGAATCGGGTGAAGCATCAACCTCATCAGCCTTGCACACGGAGTCTAGAGGAAGAACTTCAGAAAGATATTCAAATCGTGGCAGATCAAAATCCAGACGGGAAAAATCTAGAACGGGAAAGAAAGATTTTACCTGTTATAATTGTGGCAAGAAAGGTCACTTTAAAAGAGATTGCCGAGCACTGAAGAAAGATACCGGTGCACAGGAATCTGCAAACGTGACAGAGGAGACAGGTGATGCCATGATTCTAAGCGTCAACAGTCCGATTGAATCATGGATCTTGGATTCAGGGGCATCTTTCCACTCCACCCCATGCCAAGAAATCATGGAGAACTATGTCAGTGGTGATTTTGGGAAGGTTCATCTTGCTGATGATGAAACCTTAAAGATCGTCGGAAAAGGAGACATCCGACTAAAGTTGCCAAACCAGACCACCTGGAAGCTGACAGGAGTGAGACATATTCCTGGCCTCAAAAGAAATCTGATTTCTGTTGGACAGCTTGATGGAGAAGGATATAGCACAACCTTTTCAGGCTGTGAATGGAAGATTACCAAAGGAGCACTCGTCATTGCTCGTGGTAAGAAGACTGGTACTCTCTATGTAACCTCAAATTTAGAGAATATCATTGCAGTAGCAGATGCTGATGGAAAATCAAACCTATGGCACCAAAGGCTTGGCCATATGAGCGAGAAAGGGATGAAGACACTTTTGTCAAAGGGAAGCTGCCGGATCTAAAGAATGTAGATGTCGGACTATGCGAGGATTGCATCTTTGGCAAACAAAAGAAAGTCAGTTTTGCAAAGATTGGCAAGACACCCAAGACGAAAGGTTAGAATTGGTTCATACTGATGTATGGGGACCATCCCCAGTTCCATCTCTTGCAGGCTCACTATATTATGTCACCTTCATCGATGATTCAACAAGGAAGGTGTGGGTTTATTTTCTGAAGAAGAAATCAGAAGTCTTCGATATCTTCAGAAAATGGAAGGCCATGGTGGAAAATGAGACTGGTTTGAAAGTCAAGCGGTTGAGGTCTGACAATGGAGGAGAGTACAGAGACAGTAGATTCAGAGATTTCTGCGCAAACAATGGGATCAAGATGGAGACAACAGTTCCCAAGACACCGCAACATAATGGTGTAGCAGAGCGCATGAACAGAACTCTGAATGAACGTGCCAGAAGTATGAGGATACATGCCGGCTTGCCCAAATTTCTATGGGCTGAAGCAATCAACACTGCAGCTTACTTGATCAACCGTGGGCCCTCAGTTCCTTTGGATGGCAGAATACCAGAGGAAGTTTGGAGCAAGAAAGAAATAAACCTTTCACACTTAAGAGTGTTTGGTTGTATTTCTTATGTACACATAGACTCTGCTGAAAGAAGTAAGCTTGATGCTAAGTCCAACAAATGTGCTTTTGTTGGTTATGGCGGTGATGAGTTCGGTTACCGATTTTGGGACTATGAAAATCGGAAGATCATCAGAAGCAGAGACGTCATTTTCAATGAAAATGTGATGTACAAAGATAGGTCAACCGCAGAATCAAGTAATACCGAAGCTGAAACAAAGGAATTTGCTGAGTTCGAGGAGATTTCTGGAAATGATGTTCAGATCAATCCTGAAGTAGTTCAAGAAGAACCAGGCACACCAGAACTGAGACGCTCCTCCAGAATTCCTAAACCAACCCAACGGTATTCTCCTTCTTTACACTACTTGTTGCTGACTGACAATGGTGAACCAGAGTGCTATGATGAAGCAATGCAAGTGGAGGATTCAGTCAAGTGGGAGTTTTCCATGAAAGATGAGATGGACTCGCTTATGTCAAATCAGACATGGGAATTAGCTGAATTACCACCAGGCAAGAAAGCGCTCCACAACAAGTGGATTTACAGGATCAAAGAAGAGCACGATGGGAGCAAACGCTACAAAGCAAGATTGGTTGTCAAAGGCTTTCAGCAAAAAGAAGGTATTGACTACAATGAAATTTTCTCTCCAGTCGTAAAATTGTCTACAATCAGACTGGTGTTGAAAATTGTAGCTGCAGAGAATTTACATCTTGAGCAGTTAGATGTAAAGACAGCTTTCCTTCATGGTGATTTGGAGGAAGAAATCTATATGAGGCAACCAGAAGGCTTCATAGAGGCAGACAAGAAAAACCTGGTATGCAGGTTGAAGAAGAGCTTGTATGGTTTAAAACAAGCTCCTAGACAGTGGTACAAGAAGTTCGATAGTTTCATGAGTAACAGTGGTTTTATCAGATGCCAAGCAGATCATTGTTGCTACATCAAGAGGTTCGACAACAGCTTCATTATTTTATTATTGTACGTTGATGACATGCTCGTTGCAGGCTCAGACATGCAAGAGATTATACACTTGAAGCAAAAATTGTCGAAGCAGTTTGCTATGAAGGATCTGGGCGCTGCAAAGCAGATTCTTGGGATGAGGATCAATAGAGACACAAAGTCGGGGACTTTGATGTTATCACAGGCTGAGTACATCAACAAAGTACTCTCCAGGTTCAACATGCAAGATGCTAAACCAGTAAGTACACCTTTAGGTGTTCATTTCAGGCTCTCCAAAGAACAGTCACCAAAGACGGAGGAAGAACGTGCACACATGGTAAAGGTGCCGTATGCCTCAGCAATTGGAAGTCTGATGTATGCCATGGTTTGTACCAGACCAGATATTGCTCATGCAGTGGGAGCTGTTAGCAGGTACATGAATAATCCGGGCAAGGTACACTGGGAAGCAGTCAAATGGATCCTTAGATATCTGCGGGGTACCACAAACAAAGCACTTTGTTTCAAAGGTGGAGATACGATACTGACAGGCTATGTAGATGCTGACTTAGCCGGAAATGTCGACATCAGAAGGAGCACTACAGGGTATGTTTATACTCTAGGAGGAACTGCAGTGAGTTGGGTTTCTCAACTACAGAAGATAGTTGCTCTCTCCACAACTGAAGCAGAATATGTCGCTGTTACAGAAGCCAGCAAGGAGATGGTTTGGCTCCAAAGTTTCTTGGAAGAGTTAGGCAAGAAACAAGAAAACAATGTCTTGTATTGCGATAGTCAAAGTGCTATCCATCTAGCAAAAATCCGTCTTTTCATTCCAGGACGAAACACATACAATTACGATATCATTTTATTCGGTCTCTTCTAGAAGATGAGATTTGAAACTTGAAAAGATCAGTGGAGCTCAAAATCCTGCAGACATGTTGACAAAGACGGTGACTACGGACAAACTGAAGTTGTGTTCAGCTTCAGTTGGCATGCTAGAGTAACAAGACCAGAAATGCTGCTGCATCGATCGAGGTGTGAAGACAGATTAAAATCAGTCTTCAAGTGGGAGATTGTAAAGTCAAAGAAAGGAGGGGGTGGGCACCGCCTGTGGAAATTAAAGAGGGCTGAAGTTTCAACAAAGTTTGGCACCGATAATGCTTGGTTCAAAGTTTGGTATAATTTTGTTGAAAATTAAAATGGTTAAATCACACATTTAGTCATTGCACTTTAGGGTATTTTCAAAGATTAGTCCCTAAGTTTCAACTATAAATACCCTAGCTCATTTAGCTTCTAAATCATCCCAAAAACATTTCTTTCTTCCTATACTAGAAAGCTTTCTTGTGAGTAGTGAGTGTTTTGTAAACACCTGTAAATTTTCTCTCTTAGTAAAAGATCTGCAGCAGCCCGGAGACGTAAGCACAATTGGCTGAACTCCGTTATCAATTTTCGGGTATTATTTTTCCGCTTTTATTTCGCATTCTCACTAATCTGGTTATAGGGAAATTACTTGTACTCGGTTTATTTTCCTAACACAGTATTGGCGCGAAGCCGAGGGTTCTAAATCCAAGGCTGCCAAGAAACGCGAGGAAGAAGCTGAGAAACGAGCTGAAGCCGCCGCTCGCCGGGCTGAGGCTCGCCGTCAAGCTGAGATGGAAGAGAAGGAGATCGACAAAGCTTTGAAGAAACCGGATAAGAAGGCAAACCGTGTGTCGATTCCTGTGCCGAAGCTGACGGAAGCGGAGGTGCAGAAGAGGAGAGATGAGCAGCAGGCGGAGATGGCGAAGAAAGCAGAGGAGGCGAAGAAGAGTCAGAGTAGGACTGCGGAGGAAGAAGAGTATGAGAGGATGGTGTTAGTGACAAACACGAACAGGGATGATTCGTTGATTGAAGCAAGGAGTGTGGAGGAGGCGATTGCACAGATGTGTGTGACGGATAACCTTCCCCCGGATCGCCATCCTGAGAGGCGGCTTAAGGCTTCCTTCAAGGTCCATTATACCCGCTTCCGTATTGCTTTGCTGTGCTTTCAATTACTCTCTTAATTAGATTTAGAAGATAGTATATTGTTTTGTCTTTATCTTTATCTTAATAATAGTACTGAATTATTTCAATGAATGATTGTAGGCATTTGAAGAAGCTGAGCTTCCCAGGCTTAAAGAAGATAAGCCGGGTCTTACTCACACTCAATACAAGGATATGATATGGAAACTATGGAAGAAATCTCCTGATAATCCTCTAAACCAGTCAAGTTTATTGCCAATTTTGAACTAATGCTGGGTCCATGCCATCTGCTGAGTTGAAATGATCTTATGTTGGTTTGTTTAGGTTTTGTTCACTACCAATGAACAATTGCTAGTGCTTCTGATGGCTTAAGTAATTCTCATTTTCCATTTGCAGGTTGCCGAGTGATCACTGCAAAATTTTTCTCAGGCTAGAATAGCAGGCGAGATTTGTGTTTATAAACTTATGGGGGTTCTGGCCTACAATATGTGCAGTGTTTACTTTATGCTTAAAACTGATTAAAACTCGAGTAATCAAATAATACTAGCCCTTTATTATTACTGTTCAGGATCTTACATTTGTTGTTTAGTTAGTTTAACTATGAGTTGTTGCCCACTTTTCTATTTACCTTTTGTCAAGGGTCATAAAAGATTGAATGATGTGCATGCAGAGAAATAGTACTCGGCATGGTCCGCATGGATTGTATAAACTACTGATTTAAATCACAAAGATAGACCATGTGGAAGGTCTAACTTCCATTAATAAAAATTGCACATGATATGCATGTTTACTAAAAATCATGATAAATTTTCTTCTAAATTATCTATTGATATTCAAAATTTTAAATCCCTATTTTGTTACTCAACTGATTGTTATTGCTTATTTATATGGAAGTCTATATCCCTACGAATCTAGATGAAGATGATTGCTTTTGTGGACGATGAATTAGCAACACAATGCCTCAAAGAAGTTGTTTCAATTACTGCAAAGGTCTAATGAAGTGTGCCTCTTAGTGATATTTTTAGGTATCTAGGTCGTGATCGGTTCACCAAAATGCTTCTCAAATTTTTTGGGATTCTGCTTTCTGGTTTTCCATGGACAAATGTGATAAATTCTTGGATGTTATGTATCATATATATTGCTGAATGGCTCTTTCCCTGGTCTTTATGGCCTTTTGGAATCATGGATTAAATAAGAAATGATGTCCGGGTAAGTCTATGAAATGGTATTATCTTACAGTGTAGTGATTAACTCATGCATCTAAGTAAGTATTTTAAGGATGAGTAAACCAAGACAGTTCCTTACATCATGAGATTATGAAGTATTGCAGTGATCTGAGAATGAATTCTACTTGATTTTTCAGGTAAGAGCATTGCCTCAATTTGTTCTTATGGAGTGGTATTCAGCCATTCAGTGCATATGCATATGATGCAACAAACTCGTGTTATGGACTTAAAATATACTCCGCTTTAGGATATTATAGACTGATGAACAGATGGTATTGGAGCCTAAAGATAATTTCATTAAACATGCATTTTTGAAATGCTTGTTCTTAACAACTTCTGCCTGATTGCCTTCTCTTTAAGAGACATCTTTGTTTTCACATGAATCATGAATCCTGTGATGTATTATGTATATCCAAATTCCAAATACCTCTTTACAATGTAGATACGGTGCTTGGTAGAGTACTTCAATCTCACATTAGACTGGAAACGTAAAGGCTTTTTTGGCAAATATAAGTGCGAGTGTTATACACCCCAATAGATCGTTTATATGGGGAGAGTAATGGTCTTCTGAGTTTTGACCTTGCCAGATTGCTATTATTCCTTCATTTTAAACTTAGCTATTCTATTATTATCATCATTGAGACTGGATGTTTTAGCCCTTGAGCAGCATGCATGAACATTGCTTCTCTTCTTGCTCATAAGAATAGATAGCATGCCTATTTTAGATATATAAGATTTTTTATTTTTGATAAAATTACAAGAATGCTCGGTTATACAATTAAACAGACTCATTTTTTATGTGATACAGGCAGATAAATTGCAGAGAGCAATATAGCTGGGAAAACTGTTATAGGTTATTAAGATTTAAGGCACACTCTATATTAATAAGCATCTGCTAGTTGGGAAAAGTTGATAGGAGTTACATATTCTGGTTCACCACTGTAGACTTTAAAAGCTACCATTTTTGAAGCAGCTTGTGCGGGGTGGAACAGATCCCAGAACAAGTATTGATGGCAATTTGAGCAAAGCTTAGCCGAGGGAGTGCAAAATGATTCTGCTTTTAGTGTGCCATTTCCACAACATGCATTTTTTACATCTATAAAATCTGAGATTAAAAAAAATGAAAAATGAGGATCATTAGATCATATTTACAGCATTTGGTTTCATAATTTGATTTGCTTGTTGTTCATGTATGAAAGTAATTGGAGAGCGAAAGGAAGGCTTACTGAATTTTCGGGGGTTATCAATAACTTCTCTCGTGATCGCATATGCATTTCCTAGAGAATACTCAGGTTGCGCATTAGGGTGTCCATTGTTGAAAAGAAAGCTTCGGCTTGGTCGTTTAAGTCCTTCACGCATTCACCATTTGCCGAAAGCCTTTGTGATGGGCAACATCCAACTGGTGGAACGCCTATTATGCCAAACCTCCTTGCCCCAACACTGATTAGATTCTGCATAAGCAGAAATTATCCTGACAGCTTGTATCTAGCATGACATAGTTAATTGTGTAAGTTTAGATGGTTTTAGTTGGATCAGTTTCGAGTTTGAGTTATTTCATGTTTGAGAAAATTTTAGACTCTTTAAGGATTTGAGGCTTGAGTTTTTGGGTTGGTCTAGTATAAGTTCATATCGTTTTGGGTTATGGTAGTTTCGGGATTTAAGCTAATCAATTCGGATTCAGGTTAGATTGGCTTGAGTAGTTGACTTTGGTTAAATCAAGTTGAATCGAGTCTGGTTTTTTTGTTCGGATTAGAATTGATAGGTCTACTAAGAACCATTGCTGGCTTAAACAATTTTGCTAGTATACCCAAGGCTCTCTTATTAGGTATTGATGATTTAAAGAAGAAAGATAAATTAGGCAGCACGGAGATTCATCAACCATCTTTAAAAGGTACGAGCATTTGCTATTCCTTTTCCATTATGTGATCATCTCTTGTATTAAGGAAAAACAAAAACATGGAATTCTCACCCTCAAGTGCTTTTCATACACGACTGCTAATTTGGGTATGAACTGTTCTTTGGGAATCGGGTAATTCGAATGGTAATTCCCCATAATGTCATTGCTACCAACACTGATGAAGAACAGAGACTTTGAGAGAAACTCTTCTGTTTCTGATTGACCTTTGATTGCCAAGAGATCATTGTAGACCATAGTTAACTGGTATACCTGCTGCCCCATTGAGACAACAAATGTTTTCGGGCCCTATGAAATCAACATGGTTAATGTTAATTGACAAGAAACATTGAGAACAAGTCGCGAGAAACTCGAAGGCCTTACCGGTGGTTGTCCGGTTACGTCGAGAAGACCAGATCATGCTGATGCGAAGTTTATACCTCTGAACTTACGTTTCTTAATACCATATGTCCCGTTGAAAGCAAGAAAACTCAGTGGGCTTCTCTTGAAACCAAAGAGTCTAGCTGACAATGAAAAAATCAAAGAAGATGGCCATTAACCAGCAGAATTTGAGGAGCACTATATAGTGTAATACTAACCAAGGAAATCTGCAGTATTTAGGCCATTGCTGAACCGCCCGGTTTCTCTCCCGAAAGGAAAGTCGACCCCGTTGTGTGGGTAGTTAGCCGTGATATTACTATCAGGCAAATAGTTGTTGGTTCCGACATCAGCTGTAGAATCTCCTAGTATGAAGATGGCCGGCACCTCCGCATTTGCTAACTGAAGAAGGCCGGTGGCCAATGCCAAGACAATGGAGACGAACCCTTTTGACATGGAAAGTGAAGAGAAACTTGTTTCCACTATTTTTCAGCAATAAGCTTCATTCTCGTGAACTATATTTATCTGCAAAGAACATGACGGAAAAGTATGGGAATTGTCGTAGGTACAATGAGATTTTGCTGTCCTATATGGTATCATCTGGAATATATAATTCCGATGCAGGGTTTTAAACTGTTGCTTACGATTTCTTCATTGGTTTTTTCTGCGGTATGATAGAAACGAGGAGGCATATTTTGTTGGCCTTTTTCCGCATACGATTTTCTTAATAGTTTCCTGATTCGGATGCAAAGATTTTTTTTGTTTAAAATTTTGATAAACAAATGTCATTGAGATTTGAGAATTGGGCTGAAAACTCGAGTAAAAAAATGTCTTAAAAAATAAGGCAAAGTTTAGAAGATTTATTTATAGAATTTAAACAAAAATTCACACAAAAGAGAGAACTCGAGCTCGTACATGCATAAAAATGTGCATGGTAGAATTTGAACTCGAAACACTAAAAATTACATAGAACTGTACTCAAGTTTGACGATGGAGAGAATAATTAAATTAAGCTTGATGATGAAGGAAGTAAAACAAGAGATGAAAATCAAATGTTCGATTAAAAAGTATCTCATATGGTCAAATATACTAGGATAGTTGGTTTAATATGCCACATCAATCTTCTATTATTATAATAACGACTGTTAACGACAAATAATCGATTTTTTTATAAATCGATAATGTTATTGATCAATTTATTATTTTTAAAACTTTAATAAAAATACAAATTTACTCAAATGATCAATCATTGATGACCATTTGTGTAGTTTACACAAATATTTATATAGGAATGCATATCCTAGAGGAAGATTGTATACATTAAGAAGTAACGGTCCTTCGCATTGATTGACGAATGAAACGATGGTTAATTAATAGCCGTTGATACTATGTTCGAGTGGGCCAATATAATTACCCAGGTAAGCCCAGCCTGCCATTTTTCTTTTTCCATTTGATCTCTCCATATTTTTTCCAGGAAGAACACAAACGTGGAAACCATTAGACAAAAATGGAACAATTTCCGTGTCTCCCGACTGTCAGAACTTGAAGAAAAAACAAAACAAACAACAAGAAGCAAGCTCAAAACCCCTTCTTCCTCTTCCTCTTCCTCTTCCTCTTCCTCTTCTAACATTCCCTCTCTGTCACTTCCTTTGTCGAAAAAAACACCACCATTTTTTTTTTAAAATGCATGCAAAAACGGATTCAGAAGGGACGAGTATCGATGCCTCATGGCCGCCGAGGTCACCTCGAAGGCCGGTTTACTATGTCCAGAGCCCTTCGAACCACGACGTTGAGAAGATGTCGTATGGGTCGAGTCCCACGGCTTCACCAACGCACCATTATTACCATTCCTCTCCCATTCACCATTCCCGGGAATCGTCCACGACGAGATTCTCGGCTTCTCTTAAGAATCCCAGGGGTCTTTCTTCCTGGAAGCATGTGCAACTCGGTCGTGGCAATGGTGATGAAGACGACGATGATGAAATGGACGGCCGTGATGGGAGTAATTCTGATAAAGTCAGACTTTATCTTTGCCTCGTTTTATTGTTTTTCGTGATGTTCACAATGTTCTCTTTGATCTTGTGGGGTGCTAGCAGGAGTTACAAGCCTAAAATCCTCGTCAAGGTTAGATTTTTTATTTTTGGAAAAATGATTCTTCTTTGAGTTGACTCAGTTGTCACCCAATTCGTTTTTGGCCAAGGGCGCCTGCAGAGTTACTGAGCTTTCCCCCCTGTAATCTTGACTGAGCCAAAAATGAGTCAACTCGGTGACTCAGTTAACTAGTTCTCTCTGGCATTACAGATATCTAGGGTGCTTAGGAATATGGAATGGAACGCTGGTTTAATTGCTTTATCCCGTAATTTGAGCCTTATTTTTGTTATAATTTGTTAATTAGTTTAACCATATTCATTACTAATAAACATTCCCTAATGTATGTTTGTATTGATTTTGTGAGCAGCACATGGTGTTTGAGAACTTCCAATATCAGGCAGGGAATGATGAATCTGGGGTGCCAACAGATATGATTTCAGTAAATTCAACGGTCATGATCTCATACAGAAACCCAGCTACATTCTATGCCGTCCATGTCACCTCTACCCCTTGGGAGCTTCACTATTTCCAGCTCAAAATTGCCTCTGGACAGGTAAAAATTAACCCTTTTTCTCCCCTCCTAATCTGTGTATTAGTACTTGAAAATCGAGGGTTAAAAATGATAGCTTTGGTTAAGACTATTGAGAAAAAGGAAGCACTTTTGTGTCCCAATGGGTCCCCACAAAGAAACCAAATGTTTATTCTTTTGTTTCAAGCTTTGTTATGAATGCCGCCATTTGGTTTGAAGACAAAATCTACGAATGTGCCTTCCAAGAAGGACTCAAATCTCTTTGCTGCTTAGCTGTCTTGCAGGCAGACATTGGAACAAAACATAGTTCACAGTTTCATCCCTAGGATAGATAGGAATGTTCCATGGTTTTTAAGTTGGGGCCCTAATGGCGGGCGTTTGGTTTTTCGGCTTCTCGTTCGGGCCTTATCGGATATCAGTTTTGTTTCTCAATCCAAGGTCTCAATCAAGACTCATCAAATTTTGATGTTTTGTTCATGTTTGTTGTCGTTCATGTATGCAACAGATGAAGAAGTTCACACAGTCGCGAAAGAGTCAGCGGAAAGTGGTGACGATCGTGCAAGGATCTCAAGTTCCGCTATATGGTGTGATACCGGCTCTTGTGAACTCTAGAGAGCACCTGAACACCTTTGCAGTGCCTCTTAACTTGACATTCGTGATGAGGTCAAGGGCCTACATTTTGGGCAGGCTCGTAAAGACGAAGTTCTACCGGCGAATCAGGTGTTCTGTCATTCTCAGAGGTAACAAGCTCGGGAAGCCCCATAATTTGACGAATTCGTGTTTTTACCAGTGACCACTCCTCTCCTTTCTCACATGACCAAGCTGAGTTATTTACATTTTTTGCTTTTCTGAAATCTGAAATACTAAGAGTGACTATTAAACCCTGAAAATGTAGATCCTTTGCATGTAAACTATTGCTGTCTGAGGATATCCTGGAAGAAAACGATTATTCTTGTCGAATTTGTTCTTCGATTCCTTCTTTTTGCAGTTGTTTGATATTTATTTTATTGAAGTCTATTGCCTTTAGAAAAAAAAAAAAAAAACGCATCTTTCTCAAATGCAACTCCTAGCTTTAAGAAGCACTCGTAGGGAGCTGATAAGCACAATGCAATGCAATCCCTTTCTTGCTTTTCTTCTCACCATCTCCTCCTATAAAACCTAACTCGAGGTAACATGGCTTACGATTATGTGCTCGGGGCTTTGTTGCCATCCCCTGGAGGAAGATATCCGAGGTGGCCGGTGTGTTAGCCACTCAAGTATCATATCATTCGACTCGACACTGAATATCGAACTCGGATTTTGAAGTACAATGAGAATGGAGGCCTTGGGCTTGGGGGTAGAACTAATGAAAATAATCAGAACATGACATGACAGTCCAAAATGAGCTAACTGGACCCAGCCCTCAGTGTTGGGCTTGAGCCATTGAAAAGGTAAGATGAAGGCATGCTAGCAACATCAACATCCAAATCCCTCAACACATTCAATTTTTTTATTCAATGCCTATTAACTATCCCAATCTCCTTTCAAACTCTTAAAATTGGATAGTTGAGGATTTCAATTGACTGTCCAAAAGATGACACTTCAAATACTTCTATCCAAAGAGTCAAGATACTCCTCAGTCCTCAACATATACAAGTTTTTTTTCTTATCTCTACAATGTCTATTAACTATTCAAATCTCTCTTAAAACTCTTAAAATCAAATCAAATGCACATTTAACTCACTCAAATTCATATCTTTTTAAATAACCATATCAATTAAATTAAGGGTAAAGTATATAAATAGTCATCAAACTTTTATGGCACCTGCATTTTGGTCACTCAACTTTTAAAACTTGCAATACAGTCACTGAACTTTTAGTTCATTTTCAATTAGGTCCCTGACGTTACCTCTATTAGTTTTATCTGACGTGGCATGTTAACCTCGTCAACCCACATTAACTCTGTCAACCCCCTTCAAAAAATAACTTCTTCTTTACACTGCAAGACAGAAGAAATAACATGGTAAGAGATAAGACATTGCAAGACAGACATTTACAAACTTCCACCGTCATCCAGCAAAAAAGATGCATACAATTTACAAATGATATAAAATTTTGGAAATGATTGGTAAACTAAATGATCACCACTCACCAGTGAAACAAAACATACGTCCAACATTTCCACTTTGCATAAGTAGCATCATTTACGATTGCAAAATGCAACAAAAACATAATAAAAAAGAATTTTGTTAATTAATTATTTATTTTATTGATTGTGTTTATCTCAAAATTTTATTTATATTCATTCCACATAAAAATTTTATATTAATAATATATATGTATTCAACTTTAAAAAAAAAAACTTATGAAACAGCTATCGACACCATCCACCCTATGTCTAGATTTTTGTCACGTCCCGGTATACTAAAGACTAAATGAGAGAGACCCATTTTGCAAAAAAAAGAAAGGGAAAAAATACTAAAAGTTGATGTGAAAACACGAGCGATGAAAACTGCAATAAATCATGTTAATGGGTGGTTCGTGAGTCAGCATGCATGACTTTTCTCAAGCATCGTGGATCAATGATTTTCTTTTTATTAATACAAAGTGATTATAAAAAAAATATTTATCCATGGTTTTCTGATTAATAAATAATATATATATTCTGTAAATATTGTTATTTAAAAAAATTCTCTTTAATTACTCAAACAATATTAAATAATGAATTGACCATGTAATATATTATTGAATGGTTTGAAACTTAACAACTAAACTGCTTCCAGAATACACTGAAAGTCCAGAGAATCTACTTGATTTTCCCCCTTGGTGTTGGGATTCGTCTTGTCCACCTCGTGATTTTAGTGGGTATGATTATTTTCTCTTTTGATTTGATTATCATCTTTCGAATTATTTGATGTTTTAGGAAGATATCAGGAAGACATAACGACTTCTGTAGACTGTATGTAATGTGAAAGTTAATTTTGTCAACGTATTAATTCAAAAGACGTATCTTATCGTGTCTTTTCAAAAACGTCAGGTAATCCGAATGTATTTCTCATTTATTGTTGATTTCACCCTACTTAAAAAAATAATTTATCTTTCATCCCATATGAAAAAAAAATTCACCACATTATCTAAGCAAAATTTCCTGTTAAAATATAGATTAGTCTAATACAAAAGACAAAAAAATATATATATGAATTGTTATCTATCAAAAATATAATTTGATTCACTGGATAATAATGAAATATAATTTATTATAATATTAAATATCTTTGTGAAATTTATATAATTTTTACGGTTTAACTAGGAGAAATAGACGTTGAGAAAAGAAATTAGAGATTTAAAAACGATATTGGATATTAATTAGGAAAATATAAATATTTTTACCTTGCAAACAAAGTCGTTGACTACTGAAGTCGATTTTAACAAAGTTGTTTGCAGTTGTCGAATGCATTATATATATATATATATATATATATATATTTAAGACCAAATTAAAAGGATAAATTGGCCAAGAAGAATTTGATTAGTTCATAAATATACACCGGTTGATCTTTCTTTTCTCTGTTTGTTATTCAAGGACTGAAGAAATTAGCATTCAAGCCTTGGTCAGCTAAGTTCCATACAGCAGCAACTATCAACAAAATGCTTAGTATAATGCCAAAGCAACCAAGTCCCATGTTCACACTCCACATCCCACTATTCCGTCCAGGTTTCCTGATTGAAATCCACATGAAACATGGATATGCAAACGTCAAAGGCACAGCTGCCAATCCCCCAATCAAAGGTGCCAAGCTTCCCAAGAACGGAAACGCCACCGCGATGAGCAATGTCAGCCCTCCGAAGAAAAGGCGTAAACCTACCCGAACCCACCCTGGACATCGCCTTTTCTTATTGCTTGCGTATACAAACTCCAAGTTGTCGAAAGCCGGCATCGCGTAGATTTGGTACGAGGTTATGCAAGCAATTGCCAACCATAAGTAGATTAGGCCTATCATGAACTTCGAAGTGTCGTGTTCGCGAAACTGTGCAAATGCTGTTAGAATCCCCACTCCCTTCGCCGGTATCTGTAAGAAGTTAAACGATTAAGCATGCTCAATTGTGGTATCGCATACGTTATGTTAATGAATCCCGTTTTACCTTGTCTCCATAAGCCCAAAATCCAACTACAGCGAGCGGAAACAAACACATTGGAATTATAATGTACGACACCATTACACCTCTCCACATAGACGTCCGACACGAGTGTTTCGACTCGGATGGCAATGTTCCCTTTCATCAACAAATAAACATAACTGTCAATATCCGACACAAAATAATGATCGAGATATCCGGTACTACTATGATCGTTACCTGAATCTCAAGAATAAGATTATGCCCTCTGAATGCAAGCATAATAATGCCGATGGCATTTGAGATGTCACCGAATCTAGCCATACCGGTTTTCTCCGCATCCGGTACGTTGTAGGAAACACCATCAGTCCTGCCCTTGCCGATCGATAGAGCCGATATCATAGTAATGTACCCAATAGAAGTTATGGCACCGGTTAGGGACACTCTGGCAATTGAATTTAAATTGGGCAATTGACCAATGATGAGAGCAACGCAAGTGAATATGAGGAACCAGTGTGTACCACTCAACGACTTGGAACCACACATGGTGCCTTGTTCGCATATAATGTTGAAAAATTGTTTCATGGAATTTCCTCCTGTGATGATGAGCATGACGCATGAGCCTCCCGATAGGTACATTACTGGGAAGATTGCCAGCAATTTCCCGAGCTTTTGACCTGCCATGGGGTTCAGATTGGTTGAATTTTCTTATTCATTTGGGGCACAATCAAGGTTAGGTGAAAGTTGAAAGAAGTTTGACTGACCAAAGGCAATAATTGAGAGGCGGACGAATCTGCTGCAGCGGGTTCCAGGAACAGGTTCATGAAGATTTACAAGAAGCCATGCTGTGTAGAGTTGCCATGTATATGCTATGGACAAACATATGATCCCCCATGTCCTAAGGAAAATTCAAAATTTAAACAAAAGAGAAAGAGAATAGCCTTAGCTTTTTAAAGTTCGTAACTATTAGCCCCAAGTTGCTTTAAAGTAATTCTTTTAACATTCCTTTTCCTTTTTTTTTGTTGCTCTTTGGAGATTAAGTTATTGTATTAATAGATATAATAATGTTGGCAAGTGATATTAACCAAGTCGGCGATTAGGGATGGTGATTTTATTTGAATCCAATGAATTTTGATTCGATTTAATCCAACATGCTTGGATTGTATTTTCCCGTTAATTTTGAAATTCGAGTTCGGGTCGAAGTAAGGTTTTTTAAGGCTGGGGTTAAGTCTAGTCGGGTTCAAGTCTAGGGTGAAATTTGACTCGACTAAATCCAACATAATATTATAATTATCTCTTATATATTTAGAGATAATTGCAATAATATCTTTCTATTTTTTTTAATTAAGTCTTTATTTTAACTGGTAAAAATGAATTTTATATATAGGTCAAATCAGATATCGTTTTTGACCAAAATATCGAGTCAATTTTTGGATCAAATTTGGATCAACCAAAAACTAGACTCAACTCATGGCTTCCCATCGGTGATGCAGTGACAAAAAGAGACTTTAGGTAGTGGACATTAAATAGATCCGACACTAAAACTTGAGAATAATGAAATTGAATAGCTTCGTAATCAATAAATATTGTTGTGTTTGAGTTATGTTGAGTAAGGGACAGAGCCAGGACTAGAAGATGGGAGGGGTTAAATTGCCTAGTTTCAAAGTTAACATGGATTTATTAAATATTTAATTCAAAATTTGGGAGGGATAATGGGTTAATTTGATAAGTATTTAAACTAACAGTAACTAAAAATGCTATTAGACAAAAAAGATAAGGACACGGGCCTCTCTCGGCCTTAATAGATCGATCCCTGGCTTGAGTTGATCAAACAATAAAGCTAAAGAAGATAGAATATGATAATGTTTTCTTTTTTGGTTAGAGAGCAGCAATTTGAAGAGTGTGGGACAAAAGTGATTGCAAAATGACTTTCAAAAACTCACCATCCAAGACTTGAAAAGGCAGCAGGAAGCAAGAGTGCCTGAAAGCCGAGCCCTGAACACAGCAGATGGAAAACAGCAGAGAATATGGTCCCATTTCTGGACTCGGTAAGAGGCAGCCACGATTCAAGTTCCCGAAGGTCGACCACATCCGGCGGACCCGAACCTGCTTGTCCGGCCACCGGAGTGTCCTTGATCCAGGTAGATTTGACGGTGATGATTTCGAGTGGAGTCGTTGTAGGCGGTGAGTAAAGTGGGAGCACGTGCATGGAACCATCGTCTTCAATGGGAACTACTACTTCTCCCATGATTCTCGAAGCTAATGAATAACGAAAACGTTTTGGGGGCTGGGGTTTATATAGTAAATAGCAACTGGTGGGCGCGTGAAATGGAAAGCAAATCCCACATATAAGCTGTTTCATTTCAAAGAACGAATTTCACGACGGTTTGGTCTTTTATAAGCGTGTCTGTGTGAGCAATTAATGTCATACGTCACACTTATTACATCATCAGTTTCTCTTTTTTTCTTCTAAATAAGTTAGTAATAAAAATCCTACGATATAAATGACGAACAATTAACAATGATGACGTGGACACTCGTGGTTCTCTTCTTATGATACATAAATAAAATCTACTTACATGGATGTTTGCATGAGCAGTATCTTTTAATGACGTAGGATGAAGATAAACCGTATATTCATTATTCATATTTTATATACATTACCAACTAGAATCCATTGACTGATTTCATTAAATGTTCTCTTCCTTTAATGTTTTAGATTCGAACAACTATGTTTGTATGTATTAATAAATCTAGAAATATATTTGAAGATAGACACACATGCATTATAACATAAAATTTTCATATAGAATTGACACAAATAAAATTTCAGGTGGACACGATCAATAAAATAAATAACAAATCGAAGAAAATTCAGATTTCAGAACGGGTACGTGTCTATCCTGTACTAAGGATGGATTCGTCACTGTTTACAGGGTGTATACATTATTAATGACTAACAAAAATCTTGAACAAATATTATCTTATATTCCCTAAACTATTTAAATATATACGCACATTAATAACCTTTTAAATTAAAAAAAATATAATTTAATGTTATCAAAATTTTATCATTTTATCATAACTTTTATTTTTGAAAAGTATTGTATGGCAAATTTGGATTTCATTTTGAGTTGCAACATTTTCAAAGTGATTTTAATAGAATTTACCGTTTAAAATTTTCAAAGAAACATTATTTTTATATTTTCATAAATTTACTTGTAATGTATTAAAAGATTAAATTGTTTATTTAATTATATTTCAAATCGAATTTTTTAAATTTATATATATATGTATAATTTTTTATTGAAAAATTAATATATATAATTACACTCGGAAGGTGTCGGAAATTATGCGGGAATATGGCATCAACATGCTGATATAAGGTAATATGACTTTATGACGTTTGTTATTTTTATACCAGTGACATAAGTATGCATTATCTTTTTTATTCCAAGATCAAGCATTTTTGCTTAATTTTTTTTAATTTAATGTATGGTACATATTTTAATGGAACAACTGCTCAAAAATGATTTCCTACCCTCTTTGATAGGAAATCAAATATGTTTTTGTTGCTATGATAATAATGTTGTCGTTGGCGAATCATATAAAATGTAATCAAATCTTGTTTATGATCCTATGAATCTTTAATTAATAAATAAATTCTTAATTGAAAATTATATCACTATATTAGAAGTATTTTTCTTCAATATAATTCTTCGTTTATTTTTTTATAATTATTGATACTTAACTTATTAATCTATTAATTTAAATTAGATATTATAAAAAAATAGTATAGAAATTATTCTTTTATTTCAATTTACTTTCTTCAAATGATAAAGTTATAAATATAGTTTATGAACTTTAATTTGATTTTTTTAAATTTTTATATTTTAAGTCTCAACCCAAATAGTAGTCTTAAATTTTAGGGTAAATTATGTGTAGTACATAAATAATTACTTTTATTCCGTTTTGGCATTTAAACGTTATTTTTTTTTTAAAATCATACCTAAAGTTTAGTTTAAGTTTTAATTTGGATCCTCGTTGTTAAAATATTAACAGAACTACTGACGTGGTATTTTTTTTAATGATGACGTGACATTATCTTATGGTGACACATCAACATCACTATTAAAATTTTAATGGTAGGAACCAAAATAAAACCTAAACTAAACGTTAGATATGATTTTGAAAAAAAATAAAGTTTGGGTACCAAAACAGAACAAAAATAATAATTGAAGTACAAAACATGTAGTTTACCCTAAAATCTATTAAGTTAAGTTCTACTATTAGTCCATGTAATATGTGCAAGTATAGATTTTTTTCTTATTCTAGAATTTATTATTATGTCAATTCTGTCACACCTTTGAAAAAATAGGGTAAACTATGTATTTAACCACTCACTTATTCTCGCGATTTCGTTTTGGTTATTCAATTGTTTTTTTAAATCATACCTAACATTACATTTTGGTTCTGTTTTGGTCACATATCATTAAAGAAATAAACATAGTTGTTGACATGATAAATATTTAAATTTTTTAATGATGATGTGGTATTACCTTATGATGACACATCAACATCATCATTAATTTTTTAACGATGGGTAACCAAAACATAACGAAAATATAACGTTATATATGATTATAGAAAAAAATAGTTGGGTGACCAAAATAAAACCGCGAGAATAAATTGGTAACTAAATATGTAATTTATCCAGAAGTATTTTAACTTCACCCCCCGATCGGAATTAATATAATCCGTCGTTCTAATAAATCAAAATAAATTTATAGGTTACTGAAGTTTCATTTGAAGGTAAGATTATGAAAGCAATGTAGAAAGATGACTTTAATCAATTATTGTTTGCTATGAATTGACCTCCTAGTATTAGAGCATACTTTAATTTAATTTAATTAATTAACAAACCGATTTGATCTGCCTCAAATTACATGGATTAAACTTCCAAAATCTTATTATTATTAACCTAAACAAATCTCATCATTATTTAATTTTAACTTTGCTCTGGGCAGCTGCTTTTAATTAAAAAAAGAGAGTAGAGGGTTTGCTTTAAGAAAAGAAAAAGGCAAAAGACGTGAAAAGGATGTTCAAAACATTTTAATTAATGTACCTTTCTAATATATAATTTAAAAAGAGAATTTAGAGGTACAAATAAATTGAGTTTCGTACGAACCAAGCGATCTAGGTGATAAATAAATTGTTGTTATTTTTTGAGTACTCGGGTTCAAGCACCATGAATACAAGAAGTGTGAACGTTCAATATCAAATAGTTGAAAGTTATTTTTTTGAATTGAAAGAGCCTAAAACAGTAGGCTATGCGCGAATACTCTCATCTGTTTGCTGCGCAACAGCAGCGTCTAAAGCTAGGAGGTCTGCTAACACATCCGTGGGGGGAATCAAAATGAATCAAGCTGAAGTGTTGCCGCGAAGCGAGCTTTGTCATCCTATCGGCAATCTTGTTTCCATTCCTGCTAATCCATTGGATTTTTTTCACCCAACATCCCGACTGTCGAAGCTTCATAATTGCGCGAAGCAACGGAATATGGTTGTCGATTGATCTACTTTCTCCTACCAATTTAACTGCTCTGCTGCAATCAGACTGGATCCATAGCCTGTGAATGTCCAAGTTTCTTGCAATGAGTAGACCTTATAAAATCCTAAAACCAAGGATGAACGCAAGGTTTTATACTACGGGACGAACTTATAAAATTTTAAGTACGAAAACAAATTATAAATAGAAAATACACAGAAAGAATCTAAAATATAAGAGAATTTGAAAATTTTAGAGGGACAATATCCCTGAGCTAAAATTACTTCGATATTACATTTTCGGTTACAAACGAAAATATTATAAATTTATATAATTTTTTTAAATTAAACAGAATATAGTATAACCACCTAGAAGAAAAAAGCAACTGACAACCATTAATACTTCTTGCAAGTGCCATGACCACTAATCCCAAATGAATGCCCCTTTCACCAGGAAGGATTTTACTATCTAGTCAGTGAAAGATATTCTATCTGAATATATTTCAATTTTCAATGTAATTCTATGTCGTAATATTTGATTCTAACTTCTTAAGGATCGGATGCATTATTTGACGTTAGTGTTGTACTGTGACTGTAATTCCTTTAAGAAAAATATACTTTTCAGGTCACCTGTTATTCAGAGATTAAGAGTGGAATATGTATAAATAATAATTTATTTTGTGTATTCAAAAATTATATTCCACGTTCAAATATATATATATTCCATAATTTATATTTATATCAAGATAAATATTTCATCAAGGTTCATGTTTTTTTAAGGCTCACACACCTATGGTTCTCATTACTAACATTTATGGCATAGAGCATGAAGTTCGTTCAAGTTCTTTTCAAAAGTTTTTCAATTACTCAAAGTTGAAAACTTGACCATTTTCGCTTTAGAAACTCAACGCTGGCAACTGTTGGCTTGTTTCTTGATGAATGAGATACGGCAATGATGAACAATGGACTCTAACTACGGACATAATCAATGCTTTCCTTCAATCCAATTATTTATTCCATCAAGGCTGCATCACAAGTGCAAGGTGAGATCTGAGATGTGCATTTCCTTCAAGTCCGAACTCTTCGTCTGCCAGTTGGAACAACTCCATCACAATTTCATTCTTCAGATATTCCAATGGAAGAACAAAGCGCTTCTCATCAGAGCTATACACCACAAAGTGACTCTTCTCGACCATTGATGATGTGCTGCTATTGTTTGTGTCGACAACCCCATTGGTTCAGGAGATTGTGATTCTTTTTCTCTTAATTGCTGCCAATTTTTGCCATTTCCTTCAATTTGATGAGCTTCTTGACACTGATCATCTTGTTGCTTTTGATACTTTGCTAAAAATCCTGGATTCGTGAGTTTTCCTAATTTCTGAAACAAGATTTTTCGCCAACAGACTTGTGCGATTGAAACACCATTATCTCCAGGCACTTAAGCTTTTAGATATCTTATAATTAATCTACTTCACATTCATCTGTCTGTAAATGGCTCCAAGAGATTCCTAACAGTGAGGTCCTGGTCGCCATCATATTTGTGTTCAATTCTTGTACATTAACAAAGGGCTATGTTTTTATTAAATTACGGAGGATTTCCTGTATATTACTTGACATGATAAGTTTGTATTTTTAATATGAATTTGTTGATGTAATATTCTAGATAAGTAGGTTGCTTGTCTAGTTTGAAGAGACTAAACATGAGATACAAAAATTGTGATGTTTTTCATTACATATTTGAGTCTACAGAGGTGTGGATCAATTAAAATATGAGAAAAGGGGAACATCTTGTTTTAGAAGCTCCATATTGGAAAGTCTTGGTTCATTTTTTTCTGATAAAGATATGGCGATGAGCAACGACCTCTGTTTACTGACATGATCAATGCTTTCTCCACTTCTTTACTTGGTTTCCTTTTGATGAGAGCAATTACATATTTCATGAAGTTTGCATCACAAGGCAAGATGAGTAGCCCATTGCCTGGTAACCCAAACTCTTCTTCTGCCAAGTTGAATAGCTCCATCACAATTTTATTCTTTAAATATTCCAAAGGAAGCACGAACCGCTTCCGATCCACACTGTAAACGACAAAGTGGCCCTTGTCGACCACTGATGATGTGCTGCAACTGTTTGTTTCAGCCTCCATGGTGGTTCTTGGTAATGTGATTCTTTTTCCCCTAATTGAAGCCATTTGTTGCCATTTTCTTGTTAGATTGATAAGCTTCTTGGCACTGATCATCTTTCTTTACTTTGTGTAGTAGGGAAGACTAGGATAAAAGAGAAAAGAGAGGAAGTTTTGGGTCTTAGAACTCTAATTGCTAAATGAAGCTGTTGAGATTGATATGAGGCAATGGAATTGGGATGAATATATAATCACAAGGCCTAGAGACAGTCCCTTTAATGAATTATTAAATTTCAGGTATTCATAAGAAACAAAGCCATGTGATGGCAGATATTAGGTCTAATCTGCAAGGGGGCTTGTTTGCTTTTATTGGATGATTAGCCCAACAAGATGGAGCATACAAGTGCCTACTGGCACATCTTTATCCATCTGCCAAGTAGTTTAACAAAATGATCCAGTGTTGCAATAATATTGATTACTTTTAAAGAGTAATAAGAAGCCTTCACTCAAGCAAATTGCCACCTGTACCTTGTCCTGTTCAAACCCAATCAATTTCATGTGTTGATTGTCCTATTTGTTTTTTTCTATTGGCACAAGGAGTTTGAATGTAAAGAGGGAACTGTCCTTTTTGTGTTCCAAGTGGTGCTGATTTTCATGAAGTGAACCGCGTTGTTGATTTTCAAGCTAAATGTGGGCTCAATAGGGACCCTTGATTGCATAATTTCGACCAACCACCTGCTGATCTATGGAGACTATGGCAGGCACAATATGATTTGCTTCTTATTCCTGTTTTCAAGAGAACAAGAAGTAATAATTTATGCTACAAAAATACCATTTAAGGTAGCTGAAGATCTGGGTTTCATTTTAGAACAAGACTAGATGTTTTCAGTACATCATAAAGAAAAATGAAGCTAACTTCCTGACATTGAAAAATCCGAGAAGAGAAAGGAAATGAAAACTAAACATCTTTTGTTTAGAAACATTCTGTAAGGAATCAAGGGATGGATAGATAGATAGGTAGATAGATAGATAGATAGATAGATAAATGGATGAATGGATGGATGGATAGATAGATAGGTAGATAGACTTGCATAATGCAGTCCTTTGAATGAAGAATTTCGATGTCAGGACTCAAGGGAAGCTATTAAGCAAAACCATGTGGGTCAAAAATGCAAGCGATCATTTGGAAGGTAGCCAGTTGGGCATGTCTGGTGAGTAATCGAAGTGGGGCATGTGCAAGACCAGGCATTGTAGTACCCACATGTTCTGGAGATATTACCTAACAAGAAAAAATTGTGGTTCTAGTTCACCAAGAATCCTGACTAAAGGGTTTTTTTATAATTTCTAAAACAAAATTTTCCCACAACAAAATATGGAGATTGAAACATCATTACCTCCGGGCTGTTATGCATTTAGATATCTCATAATTAACAGTGAGGTCCTGGTTGCCATCATACTTCATGCACTCAAGTTTTGAATTATAGGGTGGAATATGGTAACATTTTTAAATCATCCTTGTAGAATTTCTGCTTTTACTGGATATTTCTTATAATTGGTTGGACATTAAAAAGTAAAAAATATTAGACAAATCTACTTTCTGATTGAGATGATATATTTATGCAACTAAATAGTTTAGTGATAGTATTACTTGACATGATAATTTAATTTTTTTAGATTGAACTTGTTGATGTAAATGTAATATTTTAGATAATAAGTAAGCTCCATATCAAAGTTCAAGACAACAAGCATGAGACAAAAATTTTGATGTTTTTGCTTTATATAATTTATAATCTACAAAGATGTGGAACAATTACAAGATGTTGAATTGCTTCAGAAGCTGTATATTGAAAATTGATGGCTCATTTCTTGCTGATAAAGATATGATGATGAGCAACATCTGGCGCTTACAGATGTGATCAATCCTTTCTTCACTTCTTTACTCGGTTTCTTTTTTATAAGAGCAATTACATATTCCATAAAGTTTGCATCACAAGGCAAGATGAGATGCCCATCGCCTGGTAGCCCAAACTCTTCTTCTGCCGAGTTGAATAGCTCCATCACAATTTTGTTCTTTAAATATTCCAAAGGAAGCATCAAGCGCTTGTGATCCATGCTGTATACAACAAAGTGGCCCTTGTTGACCATCGATAATTTTCTGCAACTGTTTGTTTCAGCGTCCCTGGTGGTTCCTTGTAATGTGATTCTTTTTCTCCTAATTGAAGCCATTATTTGCCATTTTCTTGCTAACTTGATAAGCTTCTTGGCACTGATCATCTTGCTTTACTTTGTGTAGTCAGGAAGACTCAGATAAAAGAGAAAAGAGAGGGAAGCTTTAGGTCTTAGAACTCTAATTGCTAAATGAAGCTGTTGAGATTGATATGAGGCAATGGAATTAGGATGAATATATAATCACAAGGCCTAGAGACAGTCCCTTTAATGAATTATTAAATTTCAGGTATTCATAAGAAACAAAGCCATGTGATGGCAGATATTAGGTCGAATCTGCATGGGGGCTTGCCTGCTTTTATTGGATGATTAGCCCATCAAGATGGAGCATACAAGTGCCTGCTGGCACATCTTTATCAATCTGCCAAGTGGTTTAACAACATGATCCAGTGAAGCAATTATATTGATTACTGTAAAGAGTAATAAGAAGCCTTCACTCAAGCAAATTGCCACCTGTACCTTGTCTATGTTCAAATCCAATCAGTTTCATGACCTTCCTGTCACTTATCCTGGCTGACAATCTCTTCCATGTAGCTCGCAATGAAAATTTGAGGGATGCAAAACCATGTGATGGTAGGAGAGAAATATATCATGTGTTGATTGTCCTATTTGTTTTTTCTATTGGCACATGGAGTTTGAATGTAAAGACGGGACTGTCCTTTTTGTGTTCCAAGTGGTGCTGATTTTTGTGAAGTGAATCGTGTTGTTGATTTTCAAGCTAAATTTGGGCTCAATAGGGATCCTGGATGCACTATTTCGACCAACCACCGGCTGATCTATGGAGAGTATTGGCTGGTGATGCTGCCAAACTATGGCACAAGATGAGTTGCTTCTTATTCCTGTTTTTCAAAAGAAGAACAAGATGTAATAATTAATGCTACATAAATACCATTTAAGGTAGTTGAATATATGGGTTTCATTTTAGAACAAGACTAGACGTTTCAGTACATCATAAAGCAAACTGAAGCTAACTTCCTGACGCAGAAAAATCCGAGAAGAGAAAGGAACCGAAAACGAAACAGTTTTTGGTCAGAAACATTCTGTAAGGAAGCATCCTTTGTTAATACACTACAATACTTTGAATAATATACACCTAGAAAGAAGTTTTTGTATAGTGAAATCATTTACAAGAAGACTAAGCATATTTACTTAGAATCAGCAAACAAGTGACTGTTGATCTGTATTGTACTTGAATGAAACAAGTATCTGATGAGCAGCGATAAGCAGTAATGGAATTACAACACGAAGTTGTCTTAAGGTTTGGAACTTTAATATTAATGTAATACTGTTATTAGTTACATTAAGATACCAAACAATGAAGCAAAATTGGAATCGACAAAACAAGAAGAAAAAATCCATTCAAAAGGTTCTCTGCTTCTACCTAATTTGGTCAGTTCCTGAGTTGATTACATACTGGACATACTGTTAATTAGTAAGCAAACTTAATATATTGCAATACTTCATATAGACTTTTTTTAAGTGTTTTCCTCTTCTTGATAGAACATTGCAAATGCAGTTACTGATGCACTGATGAAAATGGAAAATGGGACACTATTGTAGGACAAGAGAAAGAAGAGAATGTAAAGATGTAAGGGACTGAAAAACTTTTGTTTTGCTGCACTGATGAAAATGGAAAACGGATGAACACACACACACACATTGTCATACTGAAGTCCTTTGAATGAAGATATTCGATGTCGGGACTCAAGGGAAGCAATTAAGCAAAACCATGTGGGTCAAAAATGCGAGCGATCATTTGGAAGGTAGCCAGTTGGGCATGTTTGGTGAGTAACGGTAGTGGGGCATGTGCAAGACCCGGCATTGTAGTACCCACATGTTCTGGATATATTACCTAACATGAATAAAATTGTGATTCTAGTTCACTAAGAATCCTGGACTAATGGGTTTTTTTTCTAATTTCAGAAACAAAATTTGCCCACAACACAATATGGAGATTTAAACATCATTATCTCCACTCCAGGTTTAGATATCTCATAATTAACAGTGAGGTCCTGGTTGCCATTATACTTCATGTACTCAAGTTTTGAATTATAGGGTGGAATATGGTAGCATTTTCAAATCATCCTTGTAGAATTTCTGCTTTTACTGGATATTTCTTATAATTGGTTGGACATTAAAAAGTAAAAAATATTAGAAAAATCTACTTTCTGATAGAGATTATATCTTTATGCAACTAAGCTGTTTAGTAATACTATTACTTGACATGATAATTTAATTTTTTTAGATTGAACTTGTTGATGTAAATGTAACATTGTAGATAATAAGTAAGTTCCATATCAAAGTTCAAGACAACTAAGCATGAGACAAAAATTTTGATGTTTTTGCTTTATATAATTTATAATCTACAAAGATGTGGAATTGCTTCAGAAGCTGTATATTGAAAATTGATGGCTCATTTCTTGTTGATAAAGATATGATGATGAGCAACAGCCGGCGCTTACAGATGTGATCAATGCTTTCTCCACTTCTTTACTCGGTTTCCTTTTGATGAGAGCAATTACATATTCCATAAAGTTTGCATCACAAGGCAAGATGAGATGCCCATCGCCTGGTAGCCCAAACTCTTCTTCTGCCGAGTTGAATAGCTCCATCACAATTTTGTTCTTTAAATATTCCAAAGGAAGAACAAAGCGCTTATGATCCATGCTGTATACAACAAAGTGACCCTTGTCGACCACCGGTGATGTGCTGCAACTGTTTGTTTCAGCGCCCCTGGTGGTTCCTTGTAATGTGATTCTTTTTCTCCTCATTGAAGCGATTTTTTGCCATTTTCTTGCCAACTTGGTAAGCTTCTTGGCGCTGATCATCTTGCTTTACTTTGTGTAGTAGGGAAGGCTCAGATGAAAGAGGAAAGAGAGGGAAGTTTTAGGTCTTAGAGCTCTAATTGCTAAATGAAGCTGTTGAGATTGATATGAGGCAATGGAATTGGGATGAATATATAATCACAAGGCCTAGAGACAGTCCCTTCAATGAATTATTAAATTTCAGGTATTCATAGGAAACAAAGCCATGTGATGGTAGATATGAGGGCTAATCTGCAAGGGGGCTTGCCTGCTTTTATTGAATGATTAGTCCAACAAGGTGGAGCATAGAAGGGGATGCAGGCACATCTTTTTCTATCTGCCAAATGGTTTAACAACATGGTCCAGTGCTGCAATAAAATTGATTACTTTAAAGAGTAATAAGAAGCCTTCACTCAAGCAAATTGCCACCTGTACCTAGTCTCTATTAAAATCCAATCAACTTCATGACCTTCCTGTCATTTATCCATGGGACAATCTCTTCCATGTAGTTCTGAATGAAGATTTGAGTGATGCAAAACCATGTGATGGTAGGAGAGAAATACATCATGGGTTGATCGTCCTATTAGTTTTTTCTATTGGCACATGGAGTTTGAATGTAAAGAGGACACTTTTGATCTGTGGTGTAGATGACAAAATGACTCTTTCAGCCACCGAAGATTCACCAATGTCACCTGCTATAACTTTTGCATTGGACATCCCCAGTAAAGAAATTCTTTTTCTCCCCTTGTCAGTCATTTTCTGCCATTTCCTCCATTTCTGTTAAGTATATTGCTGCTGCTGATCATTTTGGCTGTAATCTTTACTTAATAAATGTAAGTACGCCTTTGCTTAAAAAAACCCTGAAATGGTATTGAAATTCCTATTGATGGATGAAGCAATCAGAATATTACTCCACCTTTGTGTGTGTGTGTGTGTATATGCAAGATTGAGGATCTAAAAATGTTCTGTAGTTGAAGTTGTTTACAAATTTCTTCCCCTCACCCTTTTGGGAGCATGTTTTGCATGATAGATATGCTCAACATCCGTAAACAAGTGACTAAGCATATTTACTTAGAATGAGAAATTTACACCTTGAATGAGAAGTAGTTTTTGAATGAGAAGTACTTAGAATCAGCAAGCGGCTGTGGATCTGCAAATTCTAGATTGAAATAAGCTTGCGACGAGCAGCGGCAAGAAGTAATGGAATCGAGCACTGCTTTCTCCAAATTCTTTGCGAATCGTCGTTTCACAAGGGACACAATGTAATTCCCGAGGACTGAATCACATGGCAATCAAAACTCCTCTTCAGACATATTTGTATTAGCCCTTGCTGAAGCAATTCTTTTTCTTCACCTGGATGCTATGTTCTGCCACTTTGTTGTCATTCTAGTAAGCTTCTTTGAGGTAATCATGGTTGTTTCCATTTGTTTTGCAGATGAAAACCTTAGAAAAAGTAAAGAAAAAGGAGGTTGATTTGTGTATAATTGCTAGTACTGATGAGGGAATAAAGTTAGTGTACTGAATTGGTTCTAAAGAACCAGGACTTGGGCTGTCGTGTTAATATCAGTTCTGAATTTCTGACTAAGGTTCGAAAAATTGGGAGGGAGAGGGGTTTGCTAGGCTTTATTTCGCTTTCCTTTTTCCTTCAAGTTCCAAACAAGATAAAAATATGGATGATTGCCATGTCAGATAACTGAACTTGAAACAAAACTATGAAGTTTTTTCATTATATATATGATGTACAATGGCCGTGGATGGTTTACAAAGTTCCTGTATATTAACAGAGGATTCCAATTCTGAATCTTACATATATTTTCTTGGTAAAACCATTTAGTAATAGTATTAGTTGATAATTGAGATGATAAGTTAGTCTTTCTAGATTGAACTGTTGATGTAATATTGCAGATAAGAAGTTCCCTGCCCAGGTTCAAGATGACTAAGCACAAATAACAATTTTTTTTTATTTTTTGCATTATGTAATTTAATCTACAAAGGTGTGGATCAATTAGAAGATGAGAGAAATTGCTTCAGAAGCTCCATATTGGCAAGTCTTGGCTCATTTCTTGCTGATAAAGATATGACAATGAGCAACAACCACTGCTTACTGACATGATCGATGCTTTCTCCATTTCTTTACTCGGTTTCCTTTTGATGAGATCAATTACATATTCCATAAAGTTTGCATAACAAGGCAAGATGAGATGCCCATCTCCTGGTAGCCCAACTCTTCTGCCAAGTTGAATAGCTCCATCACAATTTTGTTCTTTAAGTATTCCAAAGGAAGAACAAAACGCTTTTGATCCACGCTGTATACAACAAAGTGACCCTTGTCGACCACCGGTGATGTGTTGCAACTGTTTGTTTCAGCACCTGTGGTGGTTCTTGGTAATGTGATTCTTTTTCTCTTAATTGAAGCCATTTTTGCCATTTTCTTGCTAGCTTGATAAGCTTCTTGGCAACGATCATCTTGCTTTGGTTAGTTTAGTAGGAATGACTCGGATGAAAGAAAAGACGAGGGGACTTTTAGGTCTTAGATCTTTGATTGCTAAATGCAGTTGTTGTGCTTGGTATGAGGCAATGGAGTTGGGATGAAAATATATAATCACAAGGCCTAGAGACAATCCCTTTAATGAATTATAAAATTTCAAGTATTCATAGAAAACAAAGCCATGTGGTGGCAGATTTTAGATCTAATCTGCAAGGGGGCTTGCCTGCTTTTGTTGGATGATTAGCCCAACAAGGTGGAGCATAGAAGGGGATGCAGGCACATCTTTATCTATCTGCCAAGTAGCTTAACAACATGGTCCAGTGTTGCAATGATATTGATTACTTTAAAGAGTAACAAGAAGCCTTCACTCAAGCAAATTGCCACCTGTACCTTGTCTCAGTTCAAATCCAATCAATTTCATGGCCTTCCTGTCATTTATCCATGAGGACAATCTCTTCAATGTAGTTCTCAATGAATGCAAAACCATGTGATGGTAGGAGAGAATACATCTTGTGTTGGTTGTCCTATTAGTTTTTGCTATTGGCACATGGGGTTTGAAAGTTTTGAAAGTAAAGAGAACAGTCTTTTTTGCGTTGCCAAGTGGACTAGTTGTCGTATACGAAATAAACAATGATTTACAAGATGAACAAGGATGAATCGCAGGGCATCATTAGAGGACCATGACTTGATAGACCAAACTCTTCCTCAAGCAACTTTAAGAGTTCAACAAATATGTTATTGCTGAGATATGACAAGGGCACTACATGGCGCTGATGACAAAATGACCTTTTTCAGTCACAGAAGATTCACCAATGTCACCTACTATTACTTTTGCATTGGACGCCCCCAATAAAGAAATTTTTTTTCTCCCCTTGACAGTCATTTTCTGCCATTTCCTTGCCATTCTGTTAAGTTTATTGCTGCTGCCGATCATTTTGGCTGTAATATTTTCCTTATAAATGTAAGTATGCCTGCTAAAAAAACCCTGAAATGGTATTGAAATTCCTATTGATGGATGAAGCAATCAAATATTGCTTTACCTATGTATGTATATATACATGAAAGATTGAGGATTGCAGATAGCATGTTTTGCATGATAAATATGCTCAGAACCCGTGAACAAGTTCGTGATAAATGCAGTTGTTGAGAAACGCCAACGGGATCACAAAGTACCTCTTATCCATTGTGTAGATGGCAGAGCAGCCTTTAACAACTACTGATGATTTATTAGAATGATTTGCAGCAGCCATATTTGTATTAGCCCTTGCTGAAGAAATTCTTTTCCTTCCCATGGATGCTATGTTTTGCCACTTTGTTGTCATTCTAGTAAAGCTTCTTTGAGGTAATCATGGTTGTTTCCATTTGTGTTGAAGATGAAAACCTTAGAAAAAGTAAAGGAAAAGGGAGGTTGATTTGTGTCTAATTGCTAGTACTGATGAGGGAAGAAAGTTAGTGTGCTGAATTAGTTCAGGCCACACTGAGAATTTCTTTGAAGGGGCAACTTCTATGCATTCAAAGTGACAAACTGACCGTCATTAGAGTCTGAATTAGCAAGGCAAATATATGTGGTCATTCTAACCTCTTCCACCATCTCAACTGCATCTGAATTTTGAGACCTTTCAATCCAAATGCATTCCTCAATGCTAAGAGTTAGCAAAAATCAAAGTTGTATAATTATTTTGAACCTACAATGAAAAACCAACAAGCTAATTCAACAAACTATCTCAAATCCCTAATAATGGATGTCGAAATCATATTCACTGTTCATGATAGTTAAAAAAGACCAAACCCAGTTTGAGCAAAACCCATGAAATCGAACATCAAACTAAGCAAAAAAACGCAAAGAAAATGGTCAGAGAAAGAAACGGAAACAGACAGCGAAAAAACAAGCAAAAAAAAAAATCAGGGGAAAGATCAAGAAAAAATTTGGACCATTTCTCGATTTGTGCGTGTCATCCTTGCGCAGGGGCCATGCTAATCTTCTCTGTATCGTTCCAATTTTATCGGATGTCCCCGAAGGGATACACAGACATGGCTGTTTAATACTATAAACTATTCGTTTTTTGCTTCCTTAGTTGGTGTGGGATATTTCGTTGGTTCACAGCTTATCTCATTTTAAAAGATATTTTTGAAATGGATTGACCTAGAATCTCAATATACGAAGGCCCTTGTCCAATTGAAAACCACGTTCTATAAAACCAGGACTTGGGCTGTCGTGTTGATAGCAGTTCTGAATTTCTGACTAAGGTTAGAAAATTTGGGAGAGAGAGGGTTAGTTAGGCTTTATTTCGCTGTCTTTTTCCCTTCAAGTTGCAAACAAGATAAAAGGATGGATTATTGCCATGGCAGACACTTGAACTTGAAACAGAACTATGGAGTTTTCTCAAAAAAATAGGTGAGGAAGTCTCAGAATGTTGCATCTGTGGGTGATAAAAAGGGAGTTTAAATATTCCTATTGAGAGAGACATATATTAAAACATGACAGATAAATATTTGAGTTCAGTTCCTGTATATTAACAGAGGATTCCAATTCTGAATCTTACATATATTTTCTTTTGTAAAACCATTTAGTAATAGTTTAGTTGATATGATAAGTTAGTCTTTTTAGATTGAACTTGTTGATGTAATATTGCAGATAAGAAGTTCCCTGCCCAGGTTTAAGAATGACTAAGCACGAATAACAAATTTTTTTATTTTTTTGCATTATAGAATTTAATCTACAAAGGTGTGGATCAATTAGAAGATGAGAGAAATTGCTTCAGAAGCTCCATATTGGCAAGTCTTGGCTCATTTCTTGCTGATAAAGATATGACGATGAGCAACGACCACTACTTACTGACATGATCAATGCCTTCTCCACTTCTTTACTAGGTTTCCTTCTGATGAGATCAATTACATATTCCATAAAGTTTGCATCACAAGGCAAGATGAGATGCCCATCGCCTGGTAGCCCAAACTCTTCTTCTGCCAAGTTGAATAGCTCCATCACAATTTTGTTCTTTAAATATTCCAAAGGAAGCACAAAACGATGCTGATCCACGCTGTATACAACAAAGTGACCCTTGTCGACCACCGATGATGTGCTGCAACTGTTTGTTTCAGCACCTGTGGTGGTTCTTGGTAACGTGATTCTTTTTCTCCTAATTGAAGCCATTTTTTGCCATTTTCTTGCTAGCTTGATAAGCTTCTTGGCACCGATCATCTTGCTTTGGTTAGTTTAGTAGGAATGACTCGGATGAAAGAAAAGAAGAGGGAACTTTCAGTTCTTAGATCTCTGATTGCTAAATGCAGTTGTTGTGCTTGGTATGAGACAATGGAATTGGGATGAATATATAATCATAAGGCCTAGAGACAATCCCTTCAATGAATTATTAAATTTCAGGTATTCATAGGAAACAAAGCCATGTGATGGCAGATATTAGGTCTAATCTGCAAGGGGCTTGCCTGCTTTTGTTGGATGATTAGCCCAACAAGGTGGATCATAGAAGGGGATGCAGACACATCTTTATCTATGTGCCAAGTGGTTTGACAACAATATGGTCCACTGTTATTGCAATATTATTGATTCTTCATCACAGATTTCAACACTTCTAGAATCCTCTTTAGATATAGGTTTATTGCTTTAAATAGTAATAAAAAACCTTCACTCAAGCAAATTCCCACCTGTCCTTTTTGTCTTGCCAAGTGGTGTAGTTGTCTTCTAACAAATAATCCCTGATCCAAATGACAAGGAGATTATTTCTGGTGTATGGAACATATAAGAAGACTGCCAGAGTGAAAATTTGTTTCCGTTTACCCTTATCTTGTGACCATCTTGGTCTGAGGTCATGTAAAAACAAATTTTATCAGTCAGTTCGAAGTAAAACTTCTTCTGCAGGACCTTTTCACAATATGCACAAAAAGGACAAGGATCTGAACCACGGAAAAAATGTAACAACCAACTAAGTTGCTGATCTATAAATGTTCAAAATTGTTTCATATCAATATAGAGAGAGTTGATTCTATTTCCTTGTAGAATCAGTGAAGAATAGTATACCATTACAAATTTGACTATAACTTGTGTTAGAAGCTACAGGTCAATGAAGGGTGCTTTCTTGATTCTTGGTGTAGATATGAAGATGATGAGCAATGACCATTAGCTATCTCTAACAATGAAAATAGGATACTGATGAACAGCTCCGGTAGGTTGAGAGCAACAAAAATATGATGTCATATATATATATATATATATGACTGTGTGTGTGTGTGTGTATATTAATGCAGGGGTGCATGAGAAACAAAGCCTTGTACTTGAAAATGTGAGGTGGAGAGGCATTGTTTGGGAGATGGGGATTTTTTAGGTATAGACAACAGATTGCAACCATGCCGTTGCATCACATTATAGTTTTAAGCAATTTAGAGTACACCTATAATTACAATATGGTAGTTTCAATCATCTACATTTCTATAGTGTAAGTTGTTCCAGTGTCCACAAACAAGCGATTGTTGGTGTGTCTGTCCTTAATGGAAAGAGGTGCAAACGTAGTAGTAAAAATAGAACCAAGCATAGCCTTCTCCATGCGTCTTTCCGTCCCTTGTTGAACAATGGAGACTATGTACTGGAGCAAGGCTGAATCGCAGGACAACATTATAGGACCATGACTTGATAGACCAAACTCTTAGACAGCTTTAAGAGTTCAACAAATATGTTATTTCTGATATATACAACAGGGGCACAACATGGCGCTTCGAATCTGTGGTGTAGATGACAAAATGACCCTTTTCAGCCACCAATGGTTCATCAACGCCACCAGCTATACTTTTTCAGTTTCTTTATGGAATGATTCAAATGAATATATAACATTTGGTTAGATTCCATCTAAATCCTGAAGCTGAATTAGTTTATATTTGGTACCACAAGAAGATTCTTCGAAAAGTTCTATTCTATGTATTTTTTTACTATTTTGAAATATAAAAATTAAGATGGAGATGCAGGGGATCGAACCCTGTACCTCTCGCATGCAAAGCGAGCGCTCTACCATTTGAGCTACATCCCCTTTTCTCTTTTCTTTTTTATTTGAACTATTTTATACTAGATTTACCAATTGTAGTCACTAATGCTGGAATTTATTATCTAGAGTTGTCCACTAAAGGTTAAATATAGATGTGAGGTTACTGGATTCCTAAAATCCTGAGAAAATTCTTTGAGAAGTTATAGTTCAGATAAAAGGATGGATGATTGCAATTGCAGATAACTGAATATGAAACAAAAATATGGAGTTTTCTCTTTATATGTCTTAATGTACAGTGCCATTTGATTTTAGACACTCAATGTTGGCAACTGTTGGCTTGTTTGCTGATAGGGATACGATAATGAGGAGCAACGGACACCGACTACTGAAATAATCAACGCTTTCTCTAATTCTTTACTTACTTTCCTTTTGATCAACCTAATTACATATTCCATCAAAGCTGCATCAATAGGCAAAGTGGATGTTCATTGCCTTGAAGCCTGAACTCCTCTTCTGCCAGTTGGAACAACTCCATCACAATTTCGTTCTTCAGATATTCCAATGGAAGCACAAACCGCTTCTCATCAGAGCTATACACCCCAAAGTGTCCCTTCTCGACCCTTGATGATGTGCTGCAACTGTTTGTGTCAACTTCCCCACTGGTTCTTGAGAGTGTGATTCTTTTTCTCTTTGCCATTTCATTGCAATTTGATAAGCTTCTTACCACTGATCATCTTGTTTCTTTTTTCAAAACAAGGGAGGCTATTGTAGGACAAGAGAAGTAAGAGAAAGTAAAGATTGAAGGGAACTGAAAGCTTTTGTTTATCTGTACTGATGAAAAGGGAAAATGGATGAATATATATATACACTCACGTCTTGAAAAAAAGTCCTTTGAATGAAGCATTTCAATGTAGGGATTGAAGGGAAACAAATAAGTAAAACCATGTGGGTCGAAAATGTGAGAGATCATTTAGAAGGCAGCCAGTTGGGCATGTCGGGTAAGTAATGGAAGTGGTCCAATCCTTTTTTTTCCAGAACCGTGGCATGTGCAGGACCCAGCACCGTAGTACTCATATGATCTTGATATATTACCTAACAAGAAAATATTGTGGTTTTAGTTTACTATGAATCCTTGACTGATGGCTTTTTCTAATTTCTGAAATAGGCTTTGCCCTCAAACAAACTAATAAGATTTAAACGTCATTATCTCCAGGCTGTAATGTTTTTAGATATCTCATAATTATTCTACTCCACATTGATATGTCTGTAAATGGCTCCCATATATAGCTAACAGTGAGGTCCTGGTCGCCATCATACTTTAATGTACTGAAGTTTTCGAATTGTTGGGTCGAATTTGGTAGAATTTTATGTCAACTCTATGCTCAGATGACCTCCAAAGGTTTTACCTTCTTTGATTTTCACCTCTTCCTGGACAAGTTGTGTCTAACAAAGTAACAAATCAAAATTAGCTTCCTTGCCCTTTAATTTCTTGTCTTCTATGCTCACCAAAATGAGTGACGAAGTTTCAGATTACCGCTTATATGATTGTCAAAATGGAATTTAATTATTTGCTACTGATAGAAAAGAAAACATATATTAAAACATGACAGATAAATATTTGAGTTCGGTTCCTGTATATCAACAAATAACAGAGGATTATGTTTTTATTATATATTAATAGAGGATTCCAATTCTGAATCTTATATACATTTTTTTGGTGAAACTGTTTAGTAATGGTATTAGTTGACATGATAAGTCACTCTTTCTAGTATGAACTTGATGTGATATTGCAGATATGAAGTTCCCTATCAAGGTTCAAGACAAAAAGTATGAGAGACAAAAACATTTGATGTTTTTGCATTATATACTTTAATATACAAAGGTGTGTATCAATTACAAGACAATAAAAGGAGAAAAAAATTGCTTCAGAAGCTCCATATTGGCAAGTCTTGGTTCATTTCTTTCTGATGAAGATACGATGATGAGCAACAATTGGTGCTTATAGACATGATTGATGCTTTCTCCATTTCTTTACTCAGTTTCCTTTTGATGAGAGCAATTACATATTCCATAAAGTTTGCATCACAAGGCATGAGGAGAATCCCATTGCTTGGTAGTCCAAACTCTTCTTCTGCCAAGTTGAATAGCTCCATCACGATGTCGTTCTTTAGATATTCCAAAGGAAGCAAAAAGCGCTTCTGATCCACACTGTATACAACAAAGTGACCCTTGTCAACCACCGATGATTTGCTGCAACTGATTGTTTCAGAATCCCTCGAGTTTCTTGGTAATGTGGTTTTTTTCTCCTAATAGACCCCATCTTTTGCCATCTTTTTGCTAACTTGATAAGCTTCTTAGCACTGATCATCTTGCTTTGCTTGGTTTAGTAGGAAGGACTCTGCGATGAAAGGAAGAAAAAAGAGGAATTTTTAGGTCTTAGAACTCTGATTGTTAAATGCAGTTGTTATGCTTGATGTGAGGCAATGCAATTGGGATGAACATATATAATCACAAGGCTAGAGACAATCCCTTTAATGAATTAGTAGAATTCATATATTCATAGGAAACAAAGCCATGTGATGGCAGCTATAAGGGCTAACCTGCAAGGGGACCTGCCTGTTTTTAGTGAATGATTAACCCATCAAGGTGGAGCATACAAGTGCGTGCAGACACATCTTTACCTATCAGCCAAGTGGTTTAACAACAATATGGTTCAGTGTTGCAATAATATTGACTCATGATTTGATAACAGATTTCATTTAGGATCCACTTTACATAAGATTAATCAATTTTAATGGTAATAAGAAACCTTCAGACAAGCAAATTGCAACCTATATCTTGTCTCTGTTCAAATCCAATCAATCTCATGACCTTCCTGTCACTTATCCATGGAGACAATCTCTTCTATATAGTCTTGAATAAAGATTTGAGGGGTGCACAACCATGTGATGGTAAGAGAGAAATACATCCTGTGCTGATCGTCCTATTTGTTTTTGTTTTTTTTTCCTATTGGCACATGGAGATTGAATGTAAAGATGGGACTGTCCTTTTTGTGTTCCCAAGCGGTCTAGTTTTCTTATATGAAATAAACCCAGATTTCACAACATGAAGGAGATTATTTCTTGTATATGGAACCTATAATATGACTGCAAGAGTGAAGATTTCTTGCAGTATACCTTTGATTGTGACCATCTTGGTCTCTGAGGTGTAAAAACAAATTCGATCAGTCGGTCCTTGACTGGCTAACAATCTAGTCTTAGGTTAGTAATTTTGTAGCACTGCCTTTTCAAGGTATGCACACACAAAAATACTAGATCCAATGCGATGGAGACGGTGGACCTAAATTTCTAATCTATGCTGTGTCATAAACCTGACAATTCTCAGTAAAGAAAGCATTCTAAATTGCTAACCTATGCTGTAAGCATGTTTCTATAATAAAGGATTTTACTGTTCTGATTCAAATGGATGCAGGTTATTTGATAGATTCCAACTAAACAGCGAAGCTGAATTAACTCATTTCACACTGAGCAAGGCTTCTATAAGTTAGACATCAACTAAAGGCTTAAGCTGAATTAGCTCAGGTCACATTGAGAATTTCTTTGAAGGGACAACCTTTATGCATCAAAGTGACAAACTCACAACTGCAGCTGAACAAACTCACAACCTTTATGCATCAAACTGACAGTCATTAGAGTCTGAATTAGCAAGACAAATACATGAAATTGTGGTCATTCCAATCTCCTCAGAATCTCAACTGCTGCTGAACAAACCAGAAGGTTATCACTTATCACTGATTGAAGCAAAATTTTTAGCATATTTATTATACAAATTTCTAGTTGCACAGCTTTATTGAATAGAGAGAAAATCATATGATCCGAATTTGGAAAAAGATAAGTCCAATTTGTACACAAAAACAAAAAGGCTAAAAGTATACTTTGCAGCAAGCGGCTTATAATTTGATCATAAAAAAAAACATCTATTTGACCAACGAGTCCACCTCCCATTCATAAAGAAATCAACTATGAACAGACTTAGCCAAATCAAGTAATCTATATTCAGTACCAGTTACCAGCAATCAAAGTTGTACAATAATCTGGAACTTACAACGAAAAACCCAGAAGCTAATTCAACAAACTATCTCGAATCCTTAATAATGAATGTTGAAATCATATTCACTGTTCAAGATTGTTAAAAATGTCCAAACCCAGATTAAGCAAAACCCATGAAATCGAACATCAAACTAAGCACAAAAATGTAAAGAGAAGGGCCAGAGAGAGATGGAACAGACCAGCAAAGAATCATAAAAAAATTTAGACCATTTCTCGATTTGTACGTGTCATCCTTGCGCAGGGGCCATGCTAATCTTCTCTGTATCGTTCCAATTTTATCGGATGTCCCCGAAGGGACGTGCCATGGTAGCTGCTTGGTTATTATAAAATATTTTTTTCATTTCCCTAGCTGATATGGGATATTTAGTTGGTTCCCAACCGAATGAACTAGCCTATCTCATATTTTTAGGGTCCTAACGTGTAGGCTGGCCCATTTCTGAATCTTCTATATATTTTCTTGGCAAAACTGTTTAGTAATAGTATTATCTGACATGATAATTTAGTCATTTTAGATTGAAATTGTCGATGTAATATTGTAGATCAGTAATTTCCCTATCAAGGTTCAAGACAACTAAGAATGAGAGACAAAAATTTTGATGTTTTTGCATTATATATTTTAGTCTATAATGGTGTGCATCAATTACAAGATGAGAAGGAGAGGAATTGTTTCAGAAGTTGTATATTGGAAATTGTTGGCTCATTTTTTGTCTGTAAAGATATGATGATGAGCAACGTCCGGTGCTTACAGACATGATCAATGCTTTCTCCACTTCTTTACTCTGTTTCCTTTTGATGAGATCAATTACATATTCCATTAAGGTTGCATCACAAGGCATGACGAGAAGGCTATTTCCTGGAAGTCTAAACTCTTCTTCTGCCAAGTTGAATAGGTCCATCACAAATTTATTATTTAGATGTTCCAAAAGAAGAACAAATCGCTTCTGATCTACACTGTATACAACAAAGTGACCCTTGTCGACTACCGATGATGTGCTGCAACTGGTTGTTTCAGTGTCCCTGGTGGTACCTTGTAATGTGATTCTTTTTCTCCTAATTGAAGCCATTTTTTGCCATTTTCTTGCTAACTTGATGAGCTTCTTGGCACTGATCATCTTGATTTGCTTCGTTTGGTAGGAAAGACACAGACGAAAGAGAAAAAAGATGGAATTTTTAGGTCTTAGAACTCTGATTGCTAAATGCAGCTGTTGTGCTTGATATGAGGCAGTTGAATTGGGATGAAATATATAATCACGAAACTAGAGGCAGCCCCTTTAATAAATTATTTGATTCCAGGTATTCATAGGAAACAAAGCCATGTGATGGTAGATATGTGGGCTAATCTGCAAGGGAGATTGCCTGCTTTTATTGGATGATTAGCCCCACGAGGTGGATCATACAAGTGCTTGCAGAGATAGTTTTATCTATCTGCCAAGTTGTTTAACAACATGGTCCAGTGTTGCAATGATATTGATTACTTTTAAAGAGCAATAAGAAGCCTTCACTCAAGCAAATTGCCACCTGTACCTTGTCTCTGTTCAAATCCAATCAATTTCATGACCTTCCTGTCACTTATCCATGGGGACAATCTCTTCAATGTAGTTCTCAATGAATGCAAAATCATGTGATGGTAGGAGAGAAATACATCATGTTTTGATCGTCCTATTAGTTTTTTCTATTGACAAATGGAGTTTGAATGTAAAGAGGACACTGCTTTTTATGTTGGCAAGTGCTCTAGTTGTCTTGTACAAAATAAACCATGAGTCACAAGATGAACAATGAAGATTATGTACTTGAACAAAGATGAATCGCAGGGCAACATTATAGGAATATGAGTCGATTGACCAAACTCTTCCTCAAACAACTTGACTTCTACAAATATGTTATTGCCGAGATATGACAAGGGCACGACATTGCGGTTCTGATCTGTGGTGTAGATGAAAAAATGACCCTTTTCTGCCACCGAAGATTCACCAACTCACCTGCTATAACTTTTGCATTGGACGTCCCGTAAAGAAAATCTTTTTCTCCCCTTGTCAGTCATTTTCTGTCATTTCCTTGCCATTTTGTAATGTTTCTCGCTGCTGCTGATCATTTTCGCTGTAACCTTTACCATATAAATGTAAGTATGCCTTTGCTAAAAAAAACCTGAAATGGTATTGAGATTCCTTTTGATGGATGAAGCAATCAAAATTTTACTTCATCTATATATAAATATTTATAAGATTGAGGATCCAAAAATTCCCTGTACTTGAAGTTGTTTACTGTTGAGAAATTCTGTGCAAAAATAGACTTAGTTACTATTTTTCTTGGACTAGAAAACTTCATGCTTTGCATTGATATAAACTAAGGAGTCGCAAGAGTTGCACCTTCAATGCTACAACTAAATATGTTCACATATGTAGGTAAAACCTGTGTTATACTTCGTATTGTAATTCTTATTAGAGAACTTATGAAGATTAGTTTACTATTTATACTAACAATAACTCTTCAGTTTCACAAGAATCCTAATGTATTTTTTTTCTGGTTCAAGTCCCAGGAACAAGAATTGAAATACTGTTACTTACCACTCATGGTTGATAGACTACTAGATACCAAACAATGAAACGAAATTGAACTTTGGAGCCTTGAGAAAAATTAGATTAAGATAATACATGGAAAATCAATGAGCTTATGCCATTACTAGCTCATCTGCAGGATGTTACTGCTGGTGCAAAGTCATTAAACCGTCACAGATAAAAACCTTAGAAAAAGTAAAGGAAAGGGAGGTTGATTTGTGTATGATTGGCTGATTGCTAGTACTGATGAGGAAAGAAATTTACCCTGCTGAATTAGTTCTGGTCACATTGAGAAATTCTTGGAAGGGACAACTTTTATGCATTCAAAGTGAGAAGCTGACAGTCATTAGAGTCCGAATTAGCAAGACAAGTACATGAAACTGTGGTTATTCTAACCTCTTTCAGCATCTCAACTGCAGGTGAACTTTGACCTTTCAATTCAAATGCATTCCTCAATGGTACCAAATTCCAATAAATCCAGCAGTATTTGGTCCTTCAGTTCTGGTAAACAAACCAGAATGTTATCACTGATGGATGCAATTTTTTTAGCATATTTATTATACAAATTCTAGTCATGAACACAATGACCAGTAAACTTTGTAATTGGCCTCAAAGGAAACTATTTGATCAATGATTCCACAACCTATTTATAAAGAAATCAAACTATGAACACTCCAAGAACGAAAGCCTCCATTAAACATAGCCAAGCACAAGTAATCTATAATAACTACTTGTTACCAGCAATCAAAGTTGTATAATTATTTTGAACCTACAATGAAAAACAAACTCAACAATCTGAAATCCCAAATAATGAATGTTGAAATCATATTCACTGTATCGAACATCAAACTAAGCACAAAAACGCAAAGAAAACGGTAACAGACCAGTGGGAAAAAATGGGGAAAATTAAAGGAAAAAAATTTAGACCATGCTAATCTTCTCTGTATCATTCCAATTTTATCGGATGGTGTGGGATATTTAGTTGGTTCCCAACTGAATCACTGACTAGCCTATCTCATCTTTATAAGGTCTTTACGTGTCGGCAAGCTGAGACTCAAAGCCATATGGGCTTGTGGATGTGGTTGAAGAGCGGGAACTTTATATTCAGACATGAGCCGTTGATGTGTCTCAACTCTCTTGAGTTGATGAATGGATCCAAACCTAGACAGAGAATTTATATCCCAACTCAGCTAATGAAAAATTCTCGAGGACAAAATTTTCATTGTTGTATATTAACCTACAATAAATAGATTGGGTTAGATTACTACTTCAAGTTTGAAATGTTGATAATTGGTCAAGTTGTATTACGCTTCACCGCCAACTCAACTCTCCACTTAAAAAATTAGACAAAAATGACCATTTTAGGAAGATTTTCAGCAATTGTATTCAGGGATCTACTCATTTTTACATGCTCATAAATTTGTATATTGTTTTAATTTCACAAGTAACGGAGGAGAAAGATTTGAGACCAAGCATAGACGGCCTAGTCTCTTTGTCTATGACACATTTGGTTCTTCCATTCTTGGATAATGAACTCACTCAGATGCTTCTTTAGTCTTCTTTGAAGCTCCAAATCTCCAGAACAATGCACTAATAGAAACACTTTAGAATTGTCGATTCAATTCAAACGCAATAAGCCGTCTTCAAATAATTTCACCTCATTCACGAACAGCTACAGTTTACGCTTTTGATTGCTACGCTTTGTTTGCTTCTTCCAAACATGAATATGACCATCTACATATACAGAAAAACTTAGCAAATATAAAAAATACCCTTTACGAAAACATACCTGCACCTAACACTCACCCCGAGTGCAAGTAACAAATGTCTCGATTAACATCATCATTCAGGTCCTGCAAGCATGTCATGTTGTCAACTTCAGCTTAATCTTTGGGGTCTTCCAATTCAAACTCATTCCTTGAACTTCGTAAAAACACCAGACAATCAGGACGAATGACTACAAATCTGTTATGACTATATACAGCAATGAGAGAAATGCTTAGTTCGATTCCTAAACAAAGAGACAATACTTGGCACTCATAAAGGTTCGTATTTTACACTGCAGCAAGCATAAACCAGCTAAAACCTTATAATTTAATGGTAAAAGGATCTCTTCTTCATTTTCTAAACCATGATTTTCAGTTACTCAATTGACCAACCAAGATTAACAAGGGAAACTGTTTGATCAAATTGATTCCATAACCAATCATGAATAGATTCTTTATGGATATGATTTTAACTGTCAGTTAAGATGAACATCAAACTAAGCATACAAATGGAAATAAACAGAGATGGAAACTGACCTGCAAAATGTTCACAGACAAAATAGTAAAAGATATGTTTGGGCAGCTTCATCGATTTTTCAGCATGCTGATCTACAATGTATGCCAGTATCTTACTAATCTGATTCAAATGGATATATGATATTTGGTTAAGTTCCAACTAAAACCTGAAGCTGAATTAGTTCATTTCACACTGAACAATGTCTCTATATGAAAAGGAAGCAAAGAATAAATGCTGAAGCTGAATTAGTTCAGGACATACCGAGAATTTCAAGGGACAAACTGACCCCTTCAGCTTATCACCTACAGGTGAATTTTGAACTTTCTATTCAAATTATTTCCTCAATGGTTACCAAATTTCAATTCATCTTACTGCGTTTGTGTACTTCGAATTTGGTAAATAAATCACAAAGCTATCACTGATGACTACAGACTTTTAGCACATGTATATAGAAATTGCGGTCAACATCACATTCTCCAATCGCACACCTTTATTGAATGGAAAGAAAAATCAAATGGTTAAGACTTAAGATACATAGTGAGAAGAGATATAAAATGAAAGGCCAACTCCTACACAAAGCCTAAATATTCAGCATTCATTAAAAGCATATTTTGCAGTAAGAACCTTGTAATTTTGATACGCGGAGCTCCTTTAAACGGAGCCAAATACAAGTAGTTAATCTTCCTACCAATTACCAGCTATCAAAATTCTATAACCATATGGAATTTACAACAACAACCCATGAAGCTGCACATCAAACGAAGCATCAAACTAGCCAATCTAATCCTAACTAAGAGAAGATTAGATTTTCGACAAAGAAACATCTATTGGGCAGATACAGTGTTTTGTGGTTGCAGCTGAGCAAGGTTTCTATAAGTTAGAAAGCAACAACTAGAGGATGAAGCTGAGTTTCTACAAAGAAACATCTATCCAGGCCACATTGAGAATTTCTTTGAAGGACATCCTTTCTGCATTCAAATTGACAAACTGACAGTCATTAGATTCTGAATTAGCAAGACAAATACACTGAATTATGGTCATTCTAACCTCTTTCAGCATCTCAACTGCAGGTGAATTTTGAGACCTTTCAATTCAAATGCATTTCTCAATGTTACCAGTTACCAGCAATCAAAGTTGTATAATTATTTGGAACCTGCAATGAAAGACCCACAAGCTAATTCAACAAAATCACATAGCAAACTATCTGAAATTCCTAATACTGAATGTCGAAATCATATTCACTGTTCATGATAGTTAAAAAAGACCAAACCCAGGTTGAGCAAAACCCATGAAATCGGACATCAAACTAAGCACAAAAACACAAAGAAAATGATCAGAGAAAGAGATGGAAACAGACCAGCGGAAAAAAAGCAAAAAAAAATCAGGGGGAAAATGAAGAAAAAAATTTGGACCATTTCTCGATTTGTGCGTGTCATCCTTGCGCAGGGGCCATGCTAATCTTCTCTGTATCGTTCCAATTTTATCGGATGTCCCCGAAGGGACAAACAGGAGAGGTTGCTTGTTCTTTTATTAACTATTCGTTTTCTCATTTGCTAACTAATGTGGGATATTTAGTTGGTTCCCAATTGAATCTTAACTAGTCTATCTCATCTTTATAAGGTCCTAACGTGTAGGCTGGCCCAGACTTGGGGGTTGCACAAAACAAAAGCCATGGCTTGTGGATGTGGTTGAAGAGTGGGACCTTTTTATTTAGACATGAACCGTTTATGTGTCTCGACGCTCTTGACCCGATGAATGGATCCGAACCGAAACAGAGAATTTAAGTCCCAACTCAGCTAATGAAATTTCCATGGTTGTATTACGTTTAAGATGCTGATAATTGGTCAAGCTGTATTACGCTTCAACACCAACTCAACTGTCCACTTAAATAATTAGACAAAAGTAATCATTTAATGAAGATTTTCAGCAATTGTATTCAGGGATCTACTCATTTTTACATTATCATAAGCTTGTATATTGTTTTGATTTCACAAGTAACAAAGGTGAAAGATTTGAGGCCAAGCATAGATGGCCGAGTCACTTTCTTTGATTATGAGATATTTGGGTCTTCAATTCTTGGATGATGAACCCATTCAGCTGCTTGTTTAGGCTTCTTTGAAGCTCCAAATCTCCAGAACAATGAATTAACAGGAAACACTTTAGAATTGTCGATTCGACCATAATAAGCCATCTTCAAAATATTTCACCTCATTCACGAACAGCTAGACTTTATGCATTTGATTGCTACTCTTTGTTACCTACATATAACATTCACCCAAGTACAAGTAACATATGTCTCAATTAACATCATTCAGGTCCTGCAAGCATGTCATGTTGTCAACTTGAGCTTAATCTTTGGGGCCTTCCGATTCAAACTCATTCTTGATTTTGTTAATACACCAGACAACCATGACTAAATGACTACAAATTTGTTATGACTATATACAGAAATAATAGAAATGCTTAGTTCGATTCCTAAACAAAACAACAATACTCAGCACTCATAAAGGTTCGTATTTTACACTGCAGCAAGCGTAAACCAGCTAGAACCTTATCATTTAATTGTAAAAAGATCTCTTCTTCATTTTTCAAAACCATGATTTTCAGTTAATTGACCAACAAAGATTAACAAGGGAAACTGTTTGATCAAATTGATTCCATAACCCAATCATGACTAGATTCTTTATTGATATGATATTAACTCTCAGTTAAGATGAACATCAAACTAAGCACACATATGGAAAGTAAACAGAGATGGAAACTGGCCTGCAAAATTTTCACAAGAGAATAGTAAAAGATATGTTTGGGCCACTTCATTGATTTTCCATCATGCTGATCTACATTGTATGCTGGTATCTTTCAAATCTGATTCAAATGGATATATGATATTTGGTTAGATTCCAACTAAAACCTGAAGCTGAATCAGTTCATATCACACTGAACAAGGCCTCTATATGATAAGAAAGCAAAGACTAAATGCTGAAGCGTAATTAGTTCAGGACATACTGAGAATTTCTTTAAGGGAGAAACTGACACCTTCAGCATATCACCTACAGGTGAATTTTTAACTTTCTATTCAAATTCGTTCAATGGTTACCAAATTTCAGTTCATCCTACAACGTTTTTATCCATTGAATTTGGTAAACAAATCACAAGGCTATGACTGATGACTACGGACTTTTAGCACATTCTGAATAGAAATTCTGGTCAACATCACATTCTCCAATCGCACAGCTTTATTGAATGGAAAGAAAAATCAATGGTTAAGACTTAAGATACAAAGTGAGAAGAGATTTAAAATGAAAGGCCAACTCCTACACAAAGCCTAAATATTCAGCATTCATTAAGGGCATGTTTTGCAGTAAGAACCTTGTAATTTTGAAACGCAGAACTCCTTTAAACGTAGCCAAATACAAGTAGTTAATCTTCCTACCAATTACCAGCTATCAAAATTCTATGACCATATGGAATTTACAACAACAACCCATGAAGCTGCACATCAAACGACGCATCAATCTAGCCAATCTCATCCTAGCTAAGAGAAGATTAGAGTTTCTACTTTCTACAAAGAAACATCTATTGGGCAGACAGTGTTTTGTGATTGCAGATTGAGCAAAGTTTCTATAAGTTAGAAATCAACGACTAGAGGCTGAAGCTGAATTAGTTCAGGCCACATTTGAAGGGACAACCTTTATGCATTCAAAGTGACAAACTGACAGTCATTAGAATCTGAATTAGCAAGACAAAAACATGGAGTTATGGTCATTTTAACCTCTTTCAGCATCTCAACTGCAGGTGAATTTTGAGACCTTTCAATTCAAATGCATTTCTCAATGTTACCAATTACCAATAATCAAAGTTGTATAATTATTTACAACCTACAATGAAAAACCCACAAGCTATTTTGACAAAATCACTCAACAAACTATCTCAAATCCCTAATAATAAATGTCAAAGTCAATTCACTGTTCATGATAGTTAAAAAAAATACCAAACCCAGATTGAGAAAAAAACCAATGAAATCGAACGTCAAAATAAGCACAAAAACGCAAAGAAAATAGTCAGATACTCAGAAAGAGATGGAATCAGACCAGCGAAAAAACAAGCAAAAAATCAGGGGGAAATGAAGAAAAAAATTTGGACCATTTCTCGATTTGTGCGTGTCATCCTTGCGCAGGGGCCATGCTAATCTTCTCTGTATCGTTCCAATTTTATCGGATGTCCCCGAAGGGACAAACTATGATAGCATTTTAGTTCTTATAAACTATTCCTTTTTGCTTTCTCTAGTTGTTGTGGGATATTTGGTTCGCAGCTTATCTCATTTTGAAAGATAGTTTTGAATTGCATAGGCCTAGAATCTCAATGTACGCAGGCTCTTTTCCAATTGAAAACCAAGTTCTATAAAACCAGGACTTGAGCTGTCGTGTTGATATCAATTTTGAATTTCTGTGTCTCTGACTAAGGTTAGTAAATTTGGGAGGGAGAGGGTTAGACTTTATTTCGCTTTCTTTTCTTCCATTCAAGTTACAAATAAGATAAAACGATGGATGATTGCCATGGAAGACAACTGAACACGAAACAAAACTCTGGATCTGGAGTTTTCTTATTTTATTTATATATATATATATATATATATATATATATATATATATCTTAATGTACAATGGCGTTGGATGGTTTACAAAGTTGAAAACATATATTTATTTGGATTTAGAAACTCAATATTGACAACTGTTGGCTTGTTTCTTGCTGATAGGGATGTTATAAAGATGAGCAACGGACACCAACTACTGACATAATCAACGCCTTCTCAACTTCTTGACTTGCTTTCCTTTTGATCAATCCAATTACATATTCCATCAAGGCTGCATCACAAGGCAAGGTGAGATGTGCAGTTCCTTCAAGTCCAAACTCTTCTTCAGCCAGTTGGAACAGTATTCCAATGGAAGCACAAAGCGCTTCTCATCAGAGCTATACACCACAAACTGACCCTTCTCGATCCTTGATGATGTGCTGCAACTGTTTGTGTCAACTACCCCACTGGTTCTAGAGAATGTGATTCTTCTTCTCTTAATTGCTGCCAGTTTTTGCCATTTCCTTGCCAATTTGATAAGCTTCTAGCACTGACCATCTCGTTTCTTTTTTCAAAACAAGGGAGGCTATTGTAGGACAAGACAAGGAAGAGAAAGTAAAGATCGAAGGGAACTGAAAGCTTTTGTTTTGCTGCACCGATGAAAATGGAAAATGGATGAATATATATACACTCACGTATAGAAGGCGGTCCTTTGAATGAAGCATTTCAATGTTGAGACTCGAGGGAAGCAATTAAGCAAAACCATGTGGGTCGAAATGTGAGCGAGCATTTAGAAGGCAGCCAGTTGAGCAAGTCTGGTGAGTAATGGAAGTGGTCCTATCTTTTTTTTCTTTTTTTTTTGCAGAATTAAATCATTATTCATGTACAGGACCAGGCATTGTAGTACCGTCATGTTCTGGATAAATTACCTAACAAGAAACAAAATTGTGGTTCTAGTTCGCCAAAAATCCTGAATTTTAAGGGTTTTTATAATTTCTGAAACAAGATTTGCACCCAACAGACTAGTGAGATTGAAAACATCATTATCTCCAGGCTGTTATGCTTTTAGATGTCTCATAATTAATCTACCCCACATTGATATGTCTGTAAATGGCTCCAAGAGATTGCTAACAGTGAGGTCCTGGTCACCATCACACTTCGCACACAAGTTTTTGAATTGTAGGGTCGTATACTGTATAATTTTACTTCAATTCAATCCATCCTTGTAGAAATTAGCTGTTTTTAATGGATAATATAGTAATCGGTTATACTTAAAAGAGAGAGAGAGAGAGAAGATATCTAGTTTCTGACTGAAATGATATCGTTTTGCAACTAAGCTTTTTTTTTTTACCTTTTTCGATTTTCACCTCTGCTTGGACAAGTAAATTAAACTTTTGCTTCTTTGCACTTTAACCTGTTGTCTTCTAAGCTCATCAGAATGTGTGAGGAAGTTTCAGAAAGCTGCTTCTATGATGAGTAAAAAACATATATTTAAACTGGTTTAGATTAATATATGTGTTGTTTGTATTAAAAACATATATGATGAGTAAAACTGTTTTGTAATAGTATTATCTGACATGATAGGATTGTGTTTTTAGTTACGAGTTGTTGATGCAATATTTTCTGTAAGAAGTTTCCTGACAAGACTAGAGATGATTAAGCATGAGAGATAAAAATTTTGATGTTTTTGCATTATATACTTTGTGGATCAATTACAATATGAGAAAAAGGGGAAAAAATGTTTTAGAAGCTCCATATTGGCCATTGTTGGTCTTTTTCTTGCTGATAAAGATACGATGATAAGCAATGACTGGTGCTTATGGACAGGATTAGTGTTTTCTCCACTTCTTTACTCGGTTTCCTTTCGATGAATGCAATTCCATATTCCATAAATGTTGCATCACAAGGCATGATGAGAAGTCCATTGCCGGGTGGTCCAAACTCTTCTTTTGCCAAGTTCAGTAGCTCCATCACCATTTTGTTCTTTAGATATTCCAAAGGAAGCACAAAGCGCTTCTGATCCACACTGTATACGACAAAGTGACCCTTTTCGACCACCGATGATGTGCTGCAACTGTTTGTTTCAGCCTCCATGGTGGTTCTTGGTAATGTGATTCTTTTTCTCGTAATTGAAACCATTTTTCGCCATTTTCTTGCTAACTTGATATGCTTCTTAGCACTGATCATCTTGCTTTACTTTGTTTAGTAGGGAAGACTTTGATGAAACAGAAATAAGAGAGAAGTTTTAGGTCTTAGAACTCTGGTTTCTAAATGTAGCTGTTGTGCTTGATATGAGGCAATGGAATTGGGATGAATATATATAATCGCAAGGCTAGAGACAGTCCCTTTAATGAATTATTAGAATTCAGGCATTCATAGGAAACAGAGCCATGTGATTGCAGATGTGTGGGATTGGATGATTAGCCATACAAGGTGGATCATAGAATGCAGACACATCTTTATCTATCTGCCAAGTGGTTTAACAGCAAAATGGTCCAGTGTTGCAATAATATTGACTCATGATTTGATCACAGATTTCATTAGGATTCTCTATACATAAGATTAGTGACTTTGAATAGTAATAAGAAACCTTCAGTGAAGCAAATTACCACCAGTTTCTTGTCCCTCTCAAATCCAATCAGTTTCATGATGTTGCTGTCACTTATCCATGGGACAATCCGTTCAAAGTAGTTCCTAATGAAGATCTGAGGGATGCAAAACCATGTGATAGAAGGAAAGAAGAGCATGTGTGGATTGTCACCTATTAGTTTTTTCTATTGGCACATGGAGTTTGAATGTAAAGATGGAACTGCCCTTTTTGTGTTGCAAAGTAGTTTAGTTGATTTTTTTTCTTCTGTTTTGTGATGATCAATGCAAGCCGTTTATTATGTTAAAGAAAAAAAATTGTAGAAGTACCACAAAAAAGCACATGGAGATGCAGGGGATCGAACCCTGTACCTCTCGCATGCAAAGCGAGCGCTCTACCATTTGAGCTACATCCCCTGTTTTCTTTTGTTGTTGATTTTTACTATTGCAGTCTGAATTAATCCGCTTCTTCGTTGATATCTACTTTCTGACTGAAATGATATCGTTTTGCAACTAAGCTTTTACCTTCTTTGATTTTCACCTCTGCTTGGACAAGTTGTGTCAGACAGATAACAAATTAAACTTTTGCTTCCTTTGCACTTTAACCTGTTGTCTTCTGAGTTCATCAGAATGCGTGAGGAAGTTTCAGAACGATGCTTCTATGATGAGTAAAAAACATATATTTAAACTGGTTTAGATTAAAAAATATATATGATGAGTAAAACTGTTTTGTAATAGTATTATTGACATGATAGGATTGTGTTTTTAGTTATGAATTGTTGATGTGATATTTTCGATTATAAAACCCCTGACAAGACTCGACGTGATTAACCATGAGAGAGAAAAAATTTGATGTTTTTGCATTATATACTTTGTGGATCAATTACAATATGAGAAAAAGGAAAAAAATGTTTTAGAAGCTCCATATTGGCAATTGTTGGTCCTTTTCTTGCTGATAAAGATACAATGATGAGCAACGACTGGTGCTTATGGACAGGATCAATGCTTTCTCAACTTCTTTACTTGGTTTCCTTTCGATGAGAGCAATTGCATATTCCATAAAGGTTGCATCACAAGGTAAGATGAGAAGTCCATTGCCTGGTAGTCCAAACTCTTCTTCTGCCAAGTTGAATAGCTCCATCACCATTTTGTTCTTTAGATATTCCAAAGGAAGCACAAAGCGCTTCTGATCCACACTGTATACCACAAAGTGACCCTTTTCGACCACCAATGATGTGCTGCAACTGTTTGTTTCAGCACCTGTGGTGGTTCTTGATTTTTACTATTGTATTCTGTATTAATATGCTTCTTCAGTTGCTCCTTTCTAAACCAAGAAAAGGTAACTAATTTTGATTATTTAGACAATTGTACTCTAATGCTGGAATTTCTTATCTAGAGTTGTCCAGTAAAGGTAAAATATAGATGTGAGGTTACTGGATTCCTGTGAAATCCTGAGAGTGCTTTAATATTTTACTTTCATATGTATTTGCAGTTTGCAACTATTCAAGAGATAGTAGATGTAACAAAATTAACTCATTCTAGTTATCAAAAAGGTATACTGCATTTCATGAAGTTAGCATTCCACAGAGAATTATCTATACAAGTTTCTTTCATCCCCTTCTGGGATTGAAAATTGCATGATGTTTTACATGGTAAATATGTTCAGAATCCACAGACGAGCGACTGCTTTTCAGCATGTCCTTCATGGATAATTGTAGCGTATGATGAGCAGCCACGTCCAGTGATTGAACTGAGCACTGCTTTCTCCAAATCCTTATCTAATCCTCTCTGTACTAACAAGACTATGTAACTCACAATGGCAGAATCGCACTGTAATGTTATAGGCCCATCGCTTGACAGTCAGAACTCCTCCTCAGACATCTTCAAAATGTTCCTGGAAAATACTGTTCTTGAGATATGCCAAGGGAATCACAAAACGCTTCTTATCCATTGTATTGATAACAAAATGTCCTTTATGAAGGACTGATTGTTTATTAGAACTATCAGCATTAGCCGTCTTTGGCGCAAATCGGTATAACATATGATCTGACCAGCATCTTTGGCGCCTTCTTCATATTATCATATATCATAATAACCGGTTTTCTGTAGTTCTTCTAGTTAGGGTATAAGCAACTAAGTAAAAGTACGAAGTATTATTGGTGGTACTGTAAAGTTGTTGAAATGTCTCAAAGTAACAGACATGGATGACAACAGACCTCTATATTAGACATCCATGCTCATGACATTCTCATTAGCTGAGATAAATCATATAGTTTCTAAATATCAATGCTCGAAAAAATGTTGTGTAAGGTCGCAGTATCTCTGGATATCATTTTAGAATTACAGTTGCTTTTTCAATTGCATCATAGAGCAAATGGAAGTTAATTTCCTCATGTGTTGCTACTTGCTAGACCTGCATGTTCATCAAGGTGACAATAATTGTAATATATATACGTTTAAAATTATATATTTTTATATTTTGTTTTACATTTTTTCTCAATTTATACACGTATGGACTAAGTTATCTCAGTATAAAATTGGTTTATACATATTTCATTTATATAATTATGATTTTTTGTATTTTATTTCCAATTTAAAATATTGTTATGCTCTTTTAATCTATAGATGCAATATACATGATTATAACTATGCAAAATAGTTGATAAAAATAAAATAAAAGTTAACGATCATTTAATCAAAGTATTTATTTAATAAGAAGAGTTATTAGCACGAATCAAACAACTTCAGTTGTTAAGGGATTTTTTTATTATCTCTTAAGATCTTAAGTTTGAACATTGTAGATGAAGTATGGACCTTAATTACCAAATGGTTAAAAGTCTTTGAACAATATTATCTTGTATTTACCTTAAATTTATTGAAAAAATTAAAATTATTAATTAAAATATCAGTTCTAAAAATTATCAATTAGAATATTATTATTGAATTTTTAATCATATTTTTTAATCATAATTATTACAAATATAAAATAAATAATAATCATTCTATATGTTATTTATTAGGATAATATTTTATAAATTAGTATTGCATTTCCATAAAAGTATTTAATGGATCAAATCAAACATATTAATTAATAAATTATTATTACATTTCCATAAAAGTATTTAATGGATCAAATCAAACATATTAATTAATCAGTCCATTAATCATATCTTATCGGAACGATAACATGAAGACACTAGTTTGAATTTGGAATAAATGGATGACGTGTCCAAATTTGAATGGAAGACCAACTTTTTATCCTAAACCCTAACCCGGCGATCCACTCCTTCGGATGTACATGTACCCTTCTATCAAAACAGAGCGGCACTTTTCATCCTGTCTTCTCAAAACTCTGAAACTAAAAAATAAACTCCAACTCGAATTTCCCTCGCAACCGCTCATTTTCGCAAGGTATCTTTTGCTTGTCGTTCTCTAACCCTAGATCTCCACTTCACTTTCTCAGTTTTTTTCTTCGTTTTATTGGCTGGCATTGAATCGCTGAAATCGTTTCCAAGCTTCATTTCTGTTTGTTTACTGTCTTACTGAGAAAAAAAAACAGATTTGAGGCGCGTTTTTTTTTCCTTTTCCCAGTGGGAAAAATGGATCGGTACCAGAAGGTGGAGAAGCCGAAGACTGAGACACCGATAAACGAGAACGAGCTGAGGATTACAGCTCAAGGGAGAATGCGGAATTACATTTCTTACGCCATGTCTCTGCTTCAGGTTTTCCTTTTTTTATTAGATATTAGCATTGTTAATAAGCGTTGATTTAATTGTTTTGAATAAATGAGTAGCGTATTTTTGTTGTAAAAATATTTTTGTTGAAAAGCTAAGGTTTCAACTCTCCTTCTGTTTTGTAGGATAAAGCTGCAAACGAGATTATGCTTAAAGCTACAGGCAGAGCTATAAACAAGACTGTCATGATTGCTGAATTAATTAAGGTATTTTTTATATATATAAATAGGTTATTCTTTTTCATTTATCTTAATCTTCTTGTTATGTATTTATTTATAAACTTATGTATATCCATAGCAACGTTATTCGTTTTGTAAATAATATTTCTTCAGTTATATGAAAACATGTCGGTTTTGTTATCTCTTTCCCTTGCATATTGTCCGATTTGTAATTAGAAGATAGAGGACGATATAAATTTGTGAAATGTGATTGTTCTTATCTTTATAATCTCCCTACCTCGTTTTCCTTTGATTTTGTACTAAAATGTATTAATTGTTCCAGAGGAGGATTACTGGTCTTCATCAGAACACATCAACCGGATCAATAGACATAACTGACACATGGGAACCACTAGAAGAAGGCCTTCTTCCGTAAGAACCTAGTTTTCCTGTTCTTTCTGGTGGTTTGGTATTTCATTTTTCTTGCAATAACTAATATCTCATTTGCCTCTAATGTTTGGTTTGCTTGCACAGCCTAGAAACCACTCGCCATGTTTCGATTATCACCATTACTTTGTCTAAAAAAGTGCTGGTTACATCTTCAATCGGGTAATTGGCCACTACTTATCTGTATTTAAACACTCATGATGTTGAATATATTATTGTTCACCGAGGCCTGTTATTTACTATGATTGTCTTGACACGCTGCTCTGTTGGTCTGCAACATGTCATGCTAATAGATATCAACCTCCAATCCCATCTGATCAAGTGAAGGCATCAGCTGCAATTGAGGACACTGAAGGAGGTAAGCCAATAATGTACTATTATTGATGATTAAGTGATTCTGTTTTATGCCGTGCCCGACAAAAATTGATATTTATACTTTATTTCATTCAAATTAGAGGTCTCTGCTGACATCCAAGGCAAAGGACATGGTGGTCAAGAGAAATATGGAGGTATAAGCAAACATCATGGCTAATTTCGTACTAAGTGAAATAACTGTCACCTAAATTTGAGTCACTTCGGCATTTTTGGAGAAAGAGTTTTTTTTTTTTTTAATGTTACCTGAGAAGTTAAAATGCATTTAGAGTTTCAGCCATGGCTTTTTACCCTTTAACTTGTTCCTGATACATGAGGACATGGATTAGAATGTTACTGGAATTAAAGGGAAATTGAATTTCGTCAGGATGATCTCTAATCATTCAGATAGACTATGCTTCAATTATATGCTTTTGGTTATAAATGGTGAGGGGAACAGTAAAGCAACTGAGTTGACAACAAGGCTGGTGCTGTGTATGTTGGTTGCTTATAGTCGCTAGGCTTAGTAGCAGACGGAACAGATATTCAGATCTATGTTTTTTTAATGGAATGAGATGGCAATAATCCGTGGCGTGTTGATTGATTGAAAAAGTTCATTATCCAGATTTGTGCTGTGTATCAAATCATGTCTTCTTTTTTCGTGAATATATTGAAGCGCATGTGAACCAAAAGCCATATAAAAGTTATACTTGTGTGCAGGCAATATCAATGGAGGCATGGTGGACCACAGGAATGGAGGGCGAGGTTATGGAGGCAGAGGTCGGGGTCGTGGTCTTCAAGGGCGTGGTAGAGGGTATAGTGGTGGAAATATGCAGTGGGATTCGGGATATTATAATGGTAATGGTCCATCAGGACCATTTCCTAGACAGGGTCGTGGTAAATATCTGCCTCCTTTGTTTTCCTTCTTGTTCTTTAGTACTGCCTAACTGTTAGTTTAGTAGTCCGACATATCCAAAAACAAATCTATTTTTTCCCCTTGAAACAAATTTAAAACAAGCCATTTTCTTATTTGAGAATCTTAGTTGAGTTATTTTAACAAGAAATCATACATGGGTAAACAATCCAGTGTCTTGCATAATTTTTATTAGAAAAATTACATTAACCATTTCGGGTAAAATCACTGGTTGCAGGTGGAGGACGTGGGAGGGGACGAGGACGTGGTCGTGGACCTCGTGATCAAGGCTTCAGATCTGATGGTCCAGTCCAGAAAGCCGCTTGAGCATCTACCGAGCCATGGTTTTAGATTGAAACAAACCAGTGGGTGGCTGCTGGTCTTTATGCATCATTTAAGGCTTTGATTGCAAAATTGAGTGGTAAGGGACCTTATCTGTTATTGTCTTCTAGTCCGCAATTTTTGTAGGAAAGTTGGTAGGTCGTGGATATTTTATCACGCCGTGCTAATGTTTCTGCAACTTTTTAGCTTTCTTTTTCCTTTTTATTAGAATTGAAATGATTTTCTCGAAATAATAGAGCAGCAGTACATTCATTCATGCAGTCTTTTGTCATCTGCCCAGTTGTACGACGTTTTCCTTGTTGCTTGATGTTTGGTAACCAATTATGAAATTCTCGATTCACATGATCGAATACTATAATGCATTTAAAGCATGAATGATGCATGACAATTGACAACAAGAAAGAAAAAACAAAATATTCCATCAATATCTTACCCGGGACCCACTTTTCTGTTCCCCTCATCCGTATAGATATAGAAAAAAGCAAAAATGGACCAAAGCAGGACTTTTGTGGCAGTCACGAGTCATTTGATCTTTGAACGTCTAATCCATCTCCTGGTCACTGTTCATATATATATATATATATATATATATTTGAAGGGAATTTTTTTGTGTGTTCAATGTATGGATTAGTTAAAACTCAACTAAAGTGACAATCTAGATTTAATTATGTTGCTTCCTTCAATTATTTTAATAAAGTGATTGTATTTATGACGTGTAGAATAAGACATGGCACAAAGTAACTTGTGAAAAAAAAGGACGACATGCGATGAAGTGATAGAATGAGGTGAGGGAGAGAATAATCATTTTTTTAAATCTTATATTTTAAATTTTTTGTGTGTTTCTCTATTGGTATAATTTGTTTTTGGTTATTTTAAAATTTTATAAACTCATTATTTAATATAAAATTATTGTTTAACCCTAATTTTATGTGACGTGTTATAAGGAACGTTTTATCCCGATGTGACAACGACGATCTAATTTGTCGTTTCACAAATTATCACTAATTTTTGTTTTGGTTGTCGGTCGAGTTGATGGAAGAGGCGGAATTCGAATTTTAAATTGCACGTTGTTGTAGTCTAGTCTGGGGGTGGGCAATGGGCTTTTAAACTTTTTAAAGAGTTTGTTATTGCAGGTCAGACATAAAGTAAAAGTGCGATTTCCGAAGTGTGAGAAGTTTGAATCAATATAAGAGGAAAAAAACGAAAAAAACATTACAATTCATGTTAAAAACTTTATAGTAATGTCAAATCAAATGGCATCGACAATAAATGTGTATGTGTTTTGATTTTAATCACTTTCTAATATATATTTAAAAGATTAATATATATATATAATATAAAATTTAAATATTTCATAGTCAAAATTGTTATTTTAACTATATATATATATATATTTAAGTCATGAATTTAACCAGAGACAAGTTTTAAACTTTGTATGTTGTCTTGTAAACTGTTTGGAATTTCAATATTTAAAATTGTTTTAAATTGTCGTATTGACACATGTCTGATCAACACCCATATATGTCTCTCATATCACAAAATTAGTATGTTTAGTCATGAAATTCTTAAATCTCATTTTGTTTATATATAAATTTTTTAAAATGTTTAAATAGTCTTTTTAAACATTCATTCGTTGAGTATTAAATATATATACTGTTTCCATGGTTTCGCTTACAAATACTACAAGAACATAAAATATTATTTAATTTTTTATTTAAAATAAGAAAAGTTATTAAAACATAATACAAAAAATTAAAAAGATGAAGAATATCACTAATATAATAAAACATAAGTGACAATCGTTTAAAAACATATGATGTCACCTTTCTAAATAATTAAGGTGGAAAAAATTAATTCAAAGAAAAGGAGAAAAAAATTAGAAATAAAATCTCAGCGGCTCAAAATCAATGTAGTACTATTTTATATTCTCTTGAGATAAATTTTAAATTTAATCCACATTTTATTTAAAGGGAGGAAAAGAATCCAGTGAATTTATAACCCATGACTTAATATCATAAGAGAACAAAGATAAACAGCTTAATAAACCGATCAAATATATTTAATATAATATTATTCTATACAATATCAATGAATCAAATAGGGACACATCATTAAAAATAAAGTTGAATTTTATTTTTATTTTTATGACATATAATCATCTGATTTATTAATGATATATAGAATTTATACATTATAATATATTAAATGTGAAGTTTTTATTATTAATTCGATAACTTATTTTAATGATTAATCTTATCTGTGATGACCGAGATTTTAGACTCTCTTGATTATATTATTAATGATTTTAATTGATACTTGTAATTGTAATTTAAAATATAATAAATAATTAACTTTTTTTGTTAGTCTAGGGTAGTATCTATTCGAAAGATTATCAGCTATTTTATAATAAACGTTCAAATACCGATCTAAATATCGTGCTTGAACCCAAATTTCTAAGGATAAAATCAATCTCTTAACCATTGAGGTCACTTAGTTTATGCTAAACAACTCAACTATCGTTTTTCCTTTTTGTCACCTAACTATTTTTTTTAAAATTCATACTTAATGTTACGTTTAGTTTCATTTTGGTCACCCACCGTAAAAAGAAAAATGATGATGGTTGTCCAAGGACGGATGTAGGATTTCATTATAGGAGGGGTGAACTTATAAAATTTTAAGAATGAAATAACTTATAAAATTTTAGGGGTGGCAAATACATAATTTTAATAAAAAATATTTAAAATATATAATAATTTGAAAATTTTAGGGAGCGACCACCCCACTCGCCCCCTCTAGGTTCATCCCTGCTTGTGTCACCGTAAGGTAATGTCACATCATCTTTGCAAAATTTTAAAAAAATATTTTTATTAATTTTTTAACGATGGGTAACTAAAATGAAACCAAAACGCAACTTTAGGTATGATTTTGAAGAAAAAAATAATAGTTAAGTGACCAAAATAAAATAAAAATAATAGTTTGTGTACTAAATATGTAATATCCAATTTCTTATAAATCTGAGTAAATATAAGATAATATATATCTCAACAATTTAATAATAAACGCTTATACCTTATATACATGGTAATCAAACCTAAAATTAAAAAATAATAACAATTTAAATAACAATTCATTAATAATTAATATGGATGTGTTGGTGCAAAATAACTTAAAATGAGAGGAATACACATAACTGCCCTATATCGGCAAAAGAGAGGGTGAGAGCGAAAAAGACATGTATAACACTACATTTTACAATTCGGCATTGAAGTCACGTTATCCACCTCCTCCTCCCTCCTCCCTTACTCTATTTAAACTGTCTGCTCTTCCGGTTTTTTCTTTCGATTCTCAATTCAATTGGAGAAATCGTTAGATTCACTGAGAGTAAAGGAATCGGAGAAAAAACTGTGGAAAATCTAAGGGCTGTCATGGCGTCCTCCAAGGTCATACCGACGACGTCACAGACGAATACCGATCTGCCACGTCAATCGTCTCTATGTTCTTCGCTCTCCACTCTCTTCGCCGATCTTCAGAACCAACAAAACAATCGAAACCAATCTCAGAACGACCTTGGTTCCATGAACATGGACGATTTGTTGAAAAACATCTGCTCCTCTCCACCACCGCCTCCACCGTCTAATCCCTATGCGCACCCGCAGTTTGCCGGCGTTTTATATAAGGAAAAGGTCATTTCTCGCTTCCGAAGGATGTGACGAATAAGTCCGTCGATGATGTTTGGAAGCAGATCGTTGTCGGTGGCGATGATCAGAGACAGGGGGATCGTCCACCCGAAGGGATGACTTTGGAGGATTTTTTGACGAAAGCTGGGCCGGTTAGAGAAGAGGATGTACGAGGAGTTGTTAATCAGGTGGGAGTTAGTGCAGGGGTTTTATGCCGTTGACCAGGCCGTTGTCAACGGAGGTATGAATCAGCTTTCGGCGTTTGGAAACAACGGCGGCGTAGATTATCAGAGGTTGGTGGCGGTAGCTGGTGGAGGAGTTAGAGGAAAGCGACGCACGGTGTAGGCTCCGCCTTTGGATAAAGCGACGCAGCAGAAACAGAGGAGGATGATAAAAAACAGAGAATCTGCTGCTATGTCCAGGGAACGCAAACAGGTCAGACTCTTCTTTGTCAACTCTGTTTGGATGCAGAGAAATGGAGAGAAACAATACTTGCTTTCATCTCAATCAGATTTTTAATTGTTTTTCTTCAAACTTTAAAACCTGTATTCTGCAATTAAACGGGATGTTGAAAGTTAGTTCCCCCCCCCCCCTTGGTGTTGCTTTCCTTGTTGATGCTTAGGCTTATACGGTTGAATTGGAATCTCTGGTGACACAATTGGAAGAAGAGAAAGCCCAATTGCAGAGAGAAGAGGTATGTAGGCCGCTGTATATATGTTCTCAAACTATAGTGTTGAAGAATTTTCAGTCGCTGCTAAGTTTGAATTGTTTGATTAAAGTTAAAACGTGTTCTAAATTATGCTAGAAAGTTGTTGCAATCAGGGTGTGCAAGACGATGGAAGTAATTCTAAAATAGCTTTAGACCAACTTTAATTCATGAATATCATGTAGTTATGGTGCCCAGACTTTTCCTTTTCTTTAAAATTCTCAATCCTATTACCCTTCTCCGAACTATATTCCGATATGTGTACGAAAATATGATCATGGCATATACATGAACTTAAAAAATGAGCATATATATATAGAGAGTTATTGAAATGAAGTATTTAGCATAGAATCAGGGACATACTCACGATTTTATTCCAAATTCGAACTTATGATATTTTAAGAGGACGAAAACATATTTAAATCATATGATAAATTAAAATTTTCAAAGGGGGCAACCGTCCAAGGTACATCCCTGCCTAAAATGATCATTACTAATGAGCTGAAACATTTGAGATTTTCACCCCCTCTACTTTATATCCAAGTAGTTACTGGATGACATTCATGTTGAAAAAATGCATCGATCATCATTATGCATTAGATGGATGCTTTCATGTTGATTTTTCGACTTACTTTTGCAGGCTGAACTGAACAAGAAGAGGTTTAAACAGGTATGGTAATTTATCTGACCTTTTAATTCTATTACTGTGTGCTTTAAACGTATAAGATATATTCAACTGAAGATTCATATTCTGCTAAATCATTTGATAAAACGTTGGAGCAGACGAATTGTTGTCATTGTTCCAGGAAAAAAGTGAAAAACATCACACGTATATCTTTTAAGCAGAAGTTATCATCAGTT